GGTCCCTGTCCCTTTAAGCCTTCCAAAAAGCACTCGCAAAAAAAAAAAAAAGAAAAGCCGCTTGCTTTTCTTTGTCCCCGGGCGCCGGCCTGAGGGACCCACTCACAGGTCTTGCTGTTCTGGTTCCCTAGAATCCAGGACCCCACGCATGCACTGTGTCTGCGCTCTGGTGTGGATGGCTAGGGCTGGGTGTTTAGCAGTCCTGGGCTGCCTCTCCCTCCCCGCTCTGACTCCTCTCCTCCCACCAGGAGCTGGGGTGAGGGGCGCTCGGGTCCCGCCGGGCTGCGGCTTGTATCTTACCCTCTTCTCAAGGCGCTGGGTTCTTGCAGGTGTGGATGTGGTCTGGATGTTGTCCTGTGTCCTCTGGTCTCTATTCTAGGAAGAGTTGTCTTTGTTATATTTTCATAAATATATGTGGTTTTGGGAGGAGATTTCTGCTGCTCTACTCACGCCGCCATCTTGGCTCTACCCCTGAAAAAAGTCTTTTTTAAATTACAGAAGTGGGTAGACAACATTTTACTTGTATTGGAAGTTGTTTATATTCTCAGTTTCTTAAAAATGGCCGTCCCCCAGGGGTTTAACATTTTTCTTCTACAGCATCTGTAGCCTAGAAGTAGATGTAGCATGTCTGGCAACTGTGGCTTCTGTGGTCTGTGATCCACCCTGCCCAGCATAGACTCTGTGCCTCATTAGGCTATATAGTGCCTAGTGCCCAGTGCAAGCAGGCTGCCTTAAGCAGCTGTCAGTGAAATGAATGCTTTCACATGTCCTAGAATTGCTTTGGCTGTCAGTTTGCAGAGTGGGCGTCTGTTGGCCTGATAATAGCCAAACAGCATGTGAGTATCCTAGGGGTTTGCAGATTGCTCTGAGTCACCCACTGGGGATGCAGGTGAAGCCAGGTTTTGCCTCACAGAGTGCCCAGTCCAGCGGGGAGGCAGACAGTCCCGAGGTGAGATGGAGATTTCTGCAGAGAGGCATGGAGCTGGTTTACCATGGGGAAAGCTGGGGGCAGTGGCTGCTCTGCAAGTGTGAGGTAGGGCTTCCTCCCGGAGGTGACATCATAGGCCAAACGAAGGGAGTAGGAAGTTGGAGCCATTCTGCTACCTAGTTTTATGCTCCCTTCCTTCTCAGGTATTTTGTCTTTTCCTCTGGCACCAGCAGGTGGTTTTACAGCCCTGCTGGCCAGTAACTGCACCAGTTGCTGAGCTCTCTTGAGTCTTACACTATATCTGGCATTCTGTGTATTCCTGCTGTCTTGGATAACAACCCAGAGTAGATGCTGGAGTTAGTAATTTATCCCAAGTTACATGAAAGGATACAAAGGCCTCAGCACAGTAACACAGCAGGGGGCCAGTCTAAGGTCACTGCTAATTTGATGTCTGTATAAGATCAGATTTGGCCCAGGTTTTATAACAGCATATATACCAGTAAAGGTACCTTGATAAGATCACATAGTCAAACAACTAGTAATTATTCAGCACCTTATATGTGCCAGGTAAGAACTCAGCATTTGTTAGCTTGGTTTGTGTCTCAGAGCCTTTTGAGAAATGAGCTTACATTTAAAAACTTAAGATTGATTGTTAATTTAACTCATTAATTTCTTTATCCCCACCTTTACCTTCCCCAGTTTCTCTTTCTATGGTGGGGCCTCATGGATATATTTCTGCATCAGATTGGCCTCTAATGATTGTAAGTATTTTTCATCATTTTTTCCTTTTTTTAGATGAATTTTATTTCCTAATTGGAAATTAAATAAATTAAGAGCTCAGGAGTGGTAACTCCTTCAAAGTTAATGCTGTGACATACTCTATTTCTGGTTCCAGTGATTGGAAAATAAAGGAAGGGTTGGATACTTGAATGTAGAAATGTCAGTTTTCAAATGATCCAAAGGTTTAACTGAAAATTGCTTCTCTTCTTACAGTTTTACATGGTGATGTGTATCGTCTATATCTTATATGCCATACTGTGGTTGATGTGGTCTGCCTGTTACTGGAAAGATATATTAAGAATCCAGTTCTGGATTGCAGCTGTTATTTTCCTGGGAATGCTTGAAAAAGCAGTTTTCTATAGTGAATATCAAAACATCAATAATACTGGACTATCAAGTAAGTTGTGGCTGTCTCCATAAGTACAGTGTGATCCAAGAGGCTCCTTACGTCTGTGAGCAGAGCTGTGGGAGGCCCCACTTAGTACAGTGGTTTAGGAATAGCCATATTATTTATGGAGAGGAGGGAAGCCAGGAAGGGAATGTCAGAGTACAACTGATCCAGGCTAGCATGTGTGTTGTCTTTATTTTCTGTCTTCGTTCTTGCTGACTTTTCCTCCTGGAGAAAGGAAACTTCCCACTCCCTAAGGGTCAGCTACCAGAGCTTGGGTTAAAACAGCACAGTGTTCTGGGCTTGGGATCTTTCTGGTTTTCCCCCATACTCTTTCTTCTCCTTTCCCTCCAAAAGAGAAAAGAAAAAGAATTTAAGCCCAGGCAGTAAAATCAGTCCTGCTGGCCTGCAGCCTTGTTTCCTTCTCCCCACGTCATCACTCTTGCAAAGAACTTCATGCGGCCACTGGAGGCACCATCACAGGCACACATTTACACAGTGGAATGTGTGAGTCAGGCAGGCATGTAGTTGGCTCCCCCAGATGGTCCCAGATTTCTAGATTACACACAAGCCAGAGAAGTAAAGACAAATCTGTAGCCAAACCTTTAGAAAGGGAGATTGTTTGAGTGGGCTGAAAGCTCTCAGGAATGTGCGACCGAGTGATCAGTTAAATTGATTGGTACAGAATTTCAAAAGGTGTGGGTATGGCCATGAGTGAGTTGGAATACTAGATGAAACAAGTTTGGCATGAAGTTGATAGTTAATGAGGCTAAGTGACAGGTACGTGGGAGTGCGATATACTACTTTCTCTATTTTACGGAGTGTTCATAATTTCTCAAAAAGTTTAAAAAGATACATAGAAAAGAATAAAGGACAACATCCAGGGAGTTATAGAGGTCCTACTACTCTATGAGATGGTTTAGTGACATTTCACTTAGTACAGTGGTTTAGGAATAGCCATATTATTTATGGAGAGGAGGGAAGCCAGGAAGGGAATGTCAGAGTACAACTGATCCAGGCTAGCATGTGTGTTGTCTTTATTTTCTGTCTTCGTTCTTGCTGACTTTTCCTCCTGGAGAAAGGAAACTTCCCACTCCCTAAGGGTCAGCTACCAGAGCTTGGGTTAAAACAGCACAGTGTTCTGGGCTTGGGATCTTTCTGGTTTTCCCCCATACTCTTTCTTCTCCTTTCCCTCCAAAAGAGAAAAGAAAAAGAATTTAAGCCCAGGCAGTAAAATCAGTCCTGCTGGCCTGCAGCCTTGTTTCCTTCTCCCCACGTCATCACTCTTGCAAAGAACTTCATGCGGCCACTGGAGGCACCATCACAGGCACACATTTACACAGTGGAATGTGTGAGTCAGGCAGGCATGTAGTTGGCTCCCCCAGATGGTCCCAGATTTCTAGATTACACACAAGCCAGAGAAGTAAAGACAAATCTGTAGCCAAACCTTTAGAAAGGGAGATTGTTTGAGTGGGCTGAAAGCTCTCAGGAATGTGCGACCGAGTGATCAGTTAAATTGATTGGTACAGAATTTCAAAAGGTGTGGGTATGGCCATGAGTGAGTTGGAATACTAGATGAAACAAGTTTGGCATGAAGTTGATAGTTAATGAGGCTAAGTGACAGGTACGTGGGAGTGCGATATACTACTTTCTCTATTTTACGGAGTGTTCATAATTTCTCAAAAAGTTTAAAAAGATACATAGAAAAGAATAAAGGACAACATCCAGGGAGTTATAGAGGTCCTACTACTCTATGAGATGGTTTAGTGACATTTGTGTGTGTGCATGCTCTTAACCAGCTGAAGAAGGAAGGATGGGCTGCTGTGCATGGCTGGGGTTAGAGCAGCCTTGAATGTCAGATAAGGTGGCTCAGCTCCTTATCTTGAGAAAGTGGAGAGTGGTGGGGACTCTGGCGGGGAGCAGCAAAAGTCTGAGGTGCGTGAAGAGCTGGGAGGTCCCCTTCATCTCAGTACTTGAAAACCTCTGAGACACACCAGCAGGACTGGAGAACCCCAGACTGCTGTCAGTCTTGGAGGAGTCCTGCTGGAGCAGGAAGGAGAGGTGCTGGGGGAGAGTGGACTGATATTCCTGGCTTTCCCAGCGGGACTTCTGGAGCAGAGGCTGTCTTGCTTAGTAGCATCGGTCCTGGAAGGTGGACTGTAGAAGAATCACACAGAGATAGGGAGCAGTGATCATTAGGGCAGCATGGAGGCATAAGAACAGGCTGTGTCATACTGACGTCCTGTTCTATGCTTCTAGATTGGCAGTTAGGAAGTAGGTCACTTGGTATACTGGACTTCCGGGTATTTGATGAGTTCTTGTGATTCCTTGGGGACAAGATGGAGAAATGGGAGCTGAAAACTGGTTGTACAGCCATGTCTAAGGGCCTGTGCAGATAGCCACTTGTCAATCTTGTCAACTCAGAGCTGTGTTGCCTCATATGGTAGCCATAAACCACATCTGGCTATTTAAGTAAAATTAGAAATTCACTTCTTCAATTATACTGGCTGCATTGCACATGCTCTGTAGCCACATGCGGCCGGTGTTGACTGTATTGGATATCACAGATGTACAGCATTTCCATTATCAAAGAAAGTTCTGTTGGACAGCATTAGTCTGGAGCAGTGGTCTCACCCCTGGCTGCACATAGCACCACTTGAGGAACTTTAAAATGAGACCAGTGCCAGAGGTTCTAGTTGGAGAAGGCCTCTGAATTGCTTCTGTTCAGAGGTATCCCATGTGATTCTAATATGCATCTAGGATTGAGAACAACTGGGCTGGGAGACAGCTTTGAGTGATGTCTGTTTCACAGGTTTTAGACCTTGTTGCCATTTTATTTTTGCTGTAAGTCCATTGGTTCAGTTTGTTCAACTAACATTTATTGCATACTTGTGTGTATATAGAGAGCGTCCTCTTCAATTTTGTGAGGTTGGCAGAGTTGTAAATACTGGAGAATAATTTTAAATGAATCCTTCTCACCTGGAGATACACAGTGGGACGCGAAGAGATGTGATAGTGGAGGGAGGGAAAGGTGAAATTTAATTGGTAAGACCCTGAAGTTGGGATTAAAGTACAAATGCAAAAATAAAAATGGAGAAGTTCTTTTTAAAAGATTTAAAGGTTGAAGCTTATGGAAAATAAACTCAGTGTAGGCAGTGATAGGGTGGTTGCCTCCCACAAGCTTGTATAATATAACCTTATGTTGCTTTGCAGCAGGAGGACTAGCAGGAAGGAGTTGAGAATCCTGCTGTGCAGGCCCAGTCGTACCAGGAAGGTTGTATTCACTTTACTTCAAGAGGGAGGTAGCTCACGAAGGGTTTGAAAACACGCCCACCCTCATAGACATTTGTCATCCTGAACCTCCCATTCACATTCTGTTCTCCTAAAGCTTGGTCTCCTGGCCAGGTCTCCATCCTGTTCTACAGACCTAGTAGCTAGTTACCTCCAGAACATCTTCTGAACACCCTGCAGACTTCTCAGTGTCATGTGGCAGAAATGGGACTCCTCCTTCTGTCCTTACATTGCCTCCTTACCCCCAGCCGGCGGCTCCTCCAGGTAGGCCTCTCAGCAGACAGCACAGCCAGTGACCTGGGGCCATCCTCTTGCCTTCTTCCTCTCTCTTTAGTTCCACACCTGTCCTCAAGGCATTTGACAAGGTCTCTTGTGATTTTTTATGGGTAAAATGGAGAAATGTGAGCTGAAAACAAGAATAATTGTGTGGATTCACTAGTCAGGTTTCTGACTCTCTTTCTAGTTCTCTCCGTCTTTGCTGTCAGCACTTTTCAGACCTCTCACCTGGACTTCTGGAAATCCTTCTGAGCATTTTCCTTGCCTGCAATCTAGCTGCTCTCCAAGCCATTAAAGAGTGCAATCTTGATAAAATGAAACTGTCTATTTTATTCCAAGGGTCAGCACACTGTTCTTGCAAAGGCTATATAGTAAATATTTTTCGCTTTGTGGGCCGTGCAGTTCATGTTGCAGCTTCTCAGCTCTGCCATTATAGCTCCAGAGTAGCCACAGTCAACCTGTAGACAAAGGGTGTAGCTTCTTCCAGTAAAACTGTTTACAGAAGCAGATGTACAGCCAGATGTGGGCTGTAGTTTACCAGTTGCTTTTTCATTCCCACTTACTACCATTCACTTACCATTGCCCTTAGCATCAAGTCTGTGCTCATAACATAGCCTAAAACCCTGTGTGACTGGTCCCTGCCCCTTATCACTGGACTCTTTCCTTGGCATCTCTCATTACTCTCTCTACTGCAGACCTTCTCAGCTTTCACTTCTTGCAGCACATTTTGCTTTTCCTCTTTTCTCCTCCCCCAAATAGTTAACTCTTACTTAACCTTCAAATCCTGATGTAAACATCACTTTTTCTCAGAAACTGGACCCATGTGCACTTCTCCCAAATGTGGATTGGTTGCTATCTTCACAGTCCTGGAGATACTGTGTTACCTCTGGCACCTCCAATGCCGAGCTGTCTCTGGTTACTTGTGCTCGAGTACAAGCTGCATGAGGGCAGGGGTCACGTGTCTCCTGTCCCGTTAGGACCACACGTTGTAGTCCAGGAGCAGGAATACACGCTGAAGGCCTCCTGGAGGAAAGAGAACTCTAGAGGACTTGATGACTTTCAGATACTTAAGGATAAGAAGAGGGTTGTAGTTCTTGGTAGCCTCCAGGGGAAGAAGGAGCAAAAAAGAATGCTCAGGGAGACAGCTGTTAGGTGGCTATGAGAGAGCTGTGCCAGTGGAGCCGATCAGATCACGGGGTGAATCCTTTAGGGCTCATGAATTCCCCTTCATTGACGTTTTCAAACATATGTTGGTAGGTGACTTGTAAAGTAGTATGGCTAACTGGTCTTGAGGTCAGAACGGAGAGTTGTACACAGTACATATTTATTTGGAATCTTGGTGACAGGCCTCCACGTGTACACAGAATGAATTATTTTCTCTCTTTTCTCCTCAGCCCGAGGTTTATTGATATTCGCAGAGCTGATATCTGCAATTAAGAGGACCTTGGCCCGCCTGCTTGTGATCATCGTGAGCTTGGGTTATGGCATCGTGAAGTAAGTACCGGGTGTTGAGCAGATGCTGAGTTTCCAGGTGCATGGTTCTGTCCATCTGCATTTTGACCTCTGTGAAACTGGAAACTTTGTAGTATCATAAGACAAATTCCATAGGAAACATACCTGCATGAGCATGTTTTTAAAGGATTTCCAAATACTGGCTATTTTACACTGTCCTCAAATAAAGATCCTAAATTTAAATTCCAATAACATTTTATGGTTTGAAGAATAAAGAATCAATTTTAAGGATAATGGAAAAATAAAAGTGATGCTTGAAATTCAAGCCATTTTCAGTTCCTAGACAGCATAGGTAGCTTTTATGACAGTATTTGAGCATTATGAGCAAGAAGATTAAACCCGAGTCAGCAGGATTTCTGACTGGAACCTGGCTACCCATGAGGGGCCTGCTTCTCCTGGACTCCCAGCAGGTCCTCCCTCTCATCCCTGTGGTCACCGGGTATGAATGTGGAAGACCCTGTCCTCCATCCTCATTGCCCTCTCCAGGTCATTCTTCTTTCTTCCCTGAACTCTGATTCCCAGAAGCTTAAGCCTTCAGACTGGATCACCTGCTAATATCTTCTTATGCGGTCCCCTGTTGACTTCCAGATCTCACCTTATCCCTTACCTCTCAGAGCACTGGCTTCGCTCCCTTTCTCCACAAACTCATCTGTCAGAATTCCCCGGGATTTCTGTGTCCACTTGGTGATCCGTTAAGTAACTTGTTACCACCTCACTTCAGCTGCTCTTACTTGTAGCCTCACTATTTTTTAGACTCTCTTATTGTGTATAACTGCATCTTCTTCAGAATCATAAACTTCAGCAATCTGCTCTTCAACTCTCACCTCCTCTGATTCCTGTTAACTTTCTCTAATGTGTTAGCTGCAGTCACTGACCATAGTGCGGCCTCTGGCCTTTTGATCCTACCACCTGCCATTGATGCCACAAGATGCTCTCCATCCTTGCTTACCGAAGCCCTCTGCCTTCCTCTTGTCCACTTCTCTTGTTAAGTCTAGCTGTCCATCTGCTTCAGGCTGATGTCAGAACAGCTGAGTTCACCTGAGAACACTGGGCGTCACTGCCTGGGCACTCACCACATGGCCCTGAACTTAAGGGGCATCCTGAGTGCTGCTGGCGCTTATCTAGATCCCCTGCCAACTTCTGTTCTCTCTCCCACTCTGCAGAACGCCATTTACCCCTCCTCTCTTCGTTCCTCCCACTACTTAACCCTCATCCATTTTAGCTGATCTTGGTTCTTTCCTCATCGAGGAAACAAGCCGTCAGAGGGAATTCTGATGCATTCCTGCCACCAGATCTGTGTCATTCTCCCCATATCTGGACCACATGCAGCGGATTCCTTCTTGAAAGCCAAGGACCATTGCTGCTCATGGCTAAGTCCTGCCCCTGCCCTTGTGCTCTGGGTCCTTATCTATCAAAAAGCGGCCAGCAGCTGCTCCAGTTTTCTCCTGTGCCATCAGCTTCCCAGTCCCATTGGCATGCCGGTATTTCCATTTTCATCACTTTCAGAAGCAGGACCCTCCCTTGGTCCCAGATGGCCCTCTCCTCTGCTTCTGCTTATGTCTCTTCACCCCTGTGCAGTAGCATTTTTCTAATGAGTTGCCTGTACTTGCCACTCAACATCCCTTATTTCCTTTTGAACACTAGTGAGGTTTTTGCCTATACTGAGAGTCTGTCAAGGTCACCCTGACCTCTTGCCAGATAACATGGCCTGGCTCAGCCTGGTGCAGGGGCCCCTGTAGCAGTTTCAGTCATGGAACCCTGGCTTTTCCTTCCCAGTCTCCTCTGCCCCATCAGAACTCCTAACACAGTGCACACNTTTTTTTTTTTTTAAATTTTTAATCTACACTTACCTGAAGAATACTATGTTTACTATGCTCTCCCCTATATCAGGTCCCCCCTAACAACCACATTACGGTTACTGTCCATCAGCTTAGCAAAATGTTGTAGAGTCACTACTTGTCCTCTCTGTGTTGTGCAGCCCACCCTCCCCTTTCTCCCTCCCCCCCATGCATGCTAATCTTAATACCCCCCTTCTTCTTCCCCCCCCTTATCCCTCCCTGCCCACCCATCCTCCCCAGTTCCTTTCCCTTTGGTACCTGTTAGTCCATTTTTGGGTTCTGTAATTCTGCTGCTGTTTTGTTCCTTCAGTTTTTCCTTTGTTCCTATACTCCTCAGATGAGTGAAATCATTTGGTATTTCTCTTTCTCCGCTTGGCTTATTTCACTGAGCATAATACTCTCCAGCTCCATCCATGTTGCTGCAAATGGTTGGATTTTTCCACTTCTTATGGCTGAGTAGTATTCCATTGTGTATATGTACCACATCTTCTTTATTTATTCATCTATGACGGACACTTAGGTTGCTTCCATATCTTGGCTATTGTAAAGAGTGCTGAAATAAACATAGGGGTGCATATGTCTTTGAATCTGAGAAGTTGTATTCTCTGGGTAAATTCTAAGGAGTGGGATTCCTGGGTCAAATGGTATTTCTATTTTTAGTTTTTTGAGGAACCTCTGTATTTCTTTCCACAATGGTTGAACTAGCTTACATTCCCACCAGCAGTGTAGGAGGGTTCCCCTTTCTCCGCATCCTCACCAGCGTTTGTTGTTTTTAGTCTTTTCTATGCTGGCCATCCTTACTGGTGTGCATGAGGTGATATGTCATTGTGGTTTTAATTTGCATTTCCCTGATAATTAGTGATATGGAGCATCTTTTCATGTGTCTGTTGGCCATCTGAATTTCTTCTTTGCAGAACTGCCTCTTCATATCCTCTGCCCATTTGTTAATCGGGTTATTTGCCTTTTGGGTGTTGAGGCGTGTAAGTTCTTTATATATTTTGGATGTTAACCCCTTGTCGGATATGTCATCTACAAATATATTCTCCCATACTGTAGGATGCCTTTTTGTTCTGTTGGTGGTGTCCTTTGCCATACAGAAACTTTTTAGTTTGATGTAGTCCCATGTGTTCATTTCTGCTTTTGTTTCCCTTGCTTGAGGACATGCGTTCAGAAAGAAGTTGCTCATGCTTATATTCAGGAGATGTTTGCCTATGTTGTCTTCTAAGAGTTTTATGGTTTCCTGACTTACATTCAAGTCTTTAATACATTTCGAGTTTACTTTTGTGTATGGGGTTAAACAATAATCTAGTTTCATTCTCTTACATGTAGCTGTCCAGTTTTGCCAACACCAGCTGTTGAAGAGGCTGTCATTTCCCATTGTATGTCCATGGCTCCTTTATCATATATTAATTGACCATATATGGTTGGGTTTGTATCAGGGTTCTCTAGTCTGTTCCATTGGTCAATGGGTCTGTTCTTGTGCCAGTACCAAATTGTCTTGATTACTGTGGCTTTGTAGTGGAGCTTGAAGTTGGGGAGTATAATCCCCCCAGCTTTATTCTTGGTTCTCAGTATTGCTATTTGAGGTCTTTTGTGGTTCCATATGAATTTTAGAATGATTTTTCTCTAGTTCGTTGAAGAATGCTGTTGGTATTTTGATGGGAATTACATTGAACCTATAAATTGCTTTAGGCAGGATGGCTATTTTGACAATACTAATCTTCCTATCCATGAGCACAGGATGTGTTTCCATTTATTGGTATCTACTTTAATTTCTCTCATGAGCGTCTTGTAGTTTTCAGAGTATAGGTCTTTCACTTCCTTGGTTAGGTTTATTCCTAGGTATTTTATTCTTTTTGATGCAGTTGTAAATGGAATTGTTTTCCTGATTTCTCTTTCTGCTAGTTCATTGTTAGTGTATAGGAATACCATAGATTTCTGTGTATTAACTTTGTATCCCGCAACTTTGCTGAATTCAGATATTAGATCTAGTAGTTTTGGAGTGGATGCTTTAGGGTTTTTTATGTACAATATCATGTCATCTGCAAATAGGGACAGTTTAATTTCTTCCTTGCCAATCCAGATGCCTTTTATTTCTTTGTGTTGTCTGATTGCCGTGGCTAGGACCTCCAGTACTATGTTGAATAGAAGTGAGGAAAGTGGGCATCCTTGTCTTATTCCCAATCTTAAAGGAAAAGCTTTCAGCTTCTCACTGTTAAGAATGATGTTGGCTGTGGGTTTGTCATATATGGCCTTTATTATGTTGAGGTCCTTACCCTCTACTCCCATTTTGTTGAGAGTTTTTATTATGAATGGATGTTGAATTTTGTCAAATACTTTTTCAGCATCTATGGAGATGATCATGCGGTTTTTGTCCTCCTTTTAGTTGACGTGGTGGATGATGTTGATGGATTTTTGAATGTTGTACCATCCTTGTATCTCTGGATTAAATCCCACTTGATCATGATGGATGATCTTTTTGATGTATTTTTGAATTCGTTTTGTTAATATTTTTTTGAGTATTTTTGCATCTATGTTCATCAGGGATATTGGTTTGTAATTTTCTTTTTTTGTTGTGTCTTTGCCTTGTTTTGGTATTAGAGTGATGCTGGCCTCATAGAATGAGTTTGAAAGTATTCCATCTTCTACTCTTTGGAAAACTTTAAGGAGGATGGGTATTAGGTCTTCACTAAATGTTTGATAAAATTCAGCAGTGAAGCCATCGGGTCCAGGCATTTTTTCTTAAGTAGTTTTTTGATTACCAGTTCAATTTTGTTGCTGGTAATTGGTCTGTTCAGATTTCCTATTTCTTCCTTGGTGAGCCTTGGAAGATTGTATTTTTCTAGAAAGTTGTCCATTTCTTCTAGGTTATCCAGTTTGTTAGTGTATAATTTTTCATAGTATTCTCTAATAATTCTTTGTATTTCTGTGGTGTCCGTAGTGATTTTTCCTTTCTCATTTCTGATTCTGTTTATGTGTGTAGACTCTCTTTTTTTCTTGGTAAGTCTGGCTGGGGCTCTATCTATTTTGTTTATTTTCTCAAAGAACCAACTCTTGCTTTCATTGATTCTTTCTATTGTTTTATTCTTCTTGATTTTCTTTCTTTCTGTTCTAATCTTTATTATGTCCTTCCTTCTACTGAATTTGCTTATATGGGATTGTTCTTCTTTCCTGAGGTAGGCCTCTATTACAATATACTTTCCTATTAGCACGGACTTGGCTGCGTCCCACAGATTTTGTGGTGTTGAGTTATTGTTATTGTTGTCATTTGTCTCCATATATTGCTTGATCTCTGTTTTTATTTGGTCATTGATCCATTGGTTGTTTAGGAGCAGGTTGTGAAGCCTCCATGTATTTGTGGGATTTTTCTTTTCTTTGGGTAATTTATTTCTAGTTTCATACCTTTATGGTCTGTGAAACTGTTTGATACAGTTTCCATTTTTTGAATTTACTGAGGCTCTTTTTGTGGCCTAGTATATGATCTATTCTTGAAAATGTTCCATGTGCACTTGAGAAGAATGTGTATTCTGCTGCTTTTGGGTGTTAAGTTCTGTAGATGTCTGTTAGGGCCATCTGTTCTAGTGTGTTGTTCAGTGCCTCTGTGTCCTTACTTATTTTCTGTCTGGTTGATCTGTCTGTCAGAGTGAGTGGAGTGTTGAAGTCTACTAGAATGAATGTGTTGCATTCTATTTCCCCTTTTAATTCATTTAGTATTTGTTTCACATATGTAGGTGCTCCTGTGTTAGGAGCATAGATATTTATAATGGTTATATCTTCTTGTTGGATTGACCCCTTTATCACTATGTAATGTCCTTCTTTATCTCTTGTGACTTTCTTTGTTTTGAAGTCTTTTTTGTCTGATACAAGTACTGCAGCTCCTGCTTTTTTCTCTCTGTTAGTTGCATGAAATATCTTTTTCTATCCCTTCACTTTTAGTTTGTGAATGTCTTTGGGTTTAATGTGAGTAGTCTCTTGTAGGCCGCATATACATGGGTCTTTTTATCCATTCAGTGACTCTATGTCTTTTGATCGGTGCATTCAGTGCATTTACATTTAGGATGATTATCGATAGGTATGTACTTATTGCCACCACAGACTTTAGATTCGTGGTTACCAAAGGTTCAAGGTTAACTTCCTTACTATCTAAGAGTCTAACTTAACTCACTTAATATGCTGTTTCAAACACAATCTAAAGGTTCTTTTCTTTTTCTCCTCCTTTTTCTTTCTCCTCCATTCTCTATATATTAGGTATCATATTCTGTATTCTTTGTCTATCCCTTGATTGACTTAAGGGATAGTTAATTTCATTTTGCATTTGCTTAGTAATTAGGTGTTCTACTTTCTTTACTGTGGTTTTATTACCTCTGGTGGCAGCTCTTAAACCTTAGGAACACTTCTATCTATAGCAGTCCCTCCAAAATAGGCTGTAGGGATGGTTTGTGGGAGGTAAATTCTCTCAGCTTTTGCTTATCTAGAAATTGTTTAATCCCTCCTTCAAATTTAAATGATAATCTTGCCAGATAAAGTAATCTTGGTTCCAGGCCTCTGCTTCATTGCATTAAATATATCATGCCACTCCATTCTGACCTGTAGAGTTTCTGCTGAGAAGTCTGATGTTAGCCTGATGGGTTTTCCTTTGTACGTGATCTTACTTCCCTATCTGGCTGCTTTTAATAGTCTGTCCTTATCCTTGATCTTTGCCATATTAATTACTATATGTCTTGGTGTTTTCTTCCTTGGGTCCTTTGTGTTGGTAGATCTGTGGATCTCCATGGCCTGGGACACTATCTCCTTCCCCAGATTGGGAAAGTCTTCAGCAATTACCTCCTCAGAGTCACTCTCTATCCCTTACTCTCTCTCTCTCTCTCTCTCTCTCTTCCTCTTCTGGTTCCCCTATAATGCAAATATTGTTCCATTTGAATTGGTCACACAGTTCTCTCCATATTCTTTCTTTCTTAGAGATCCTTTTTCTCTCTGTGCCTCAGTTTCTTTGTATTCCTCTTCTCTACTTTCTATTTCATTTATCGTCTCCTTCACCGTATCTAATCTGCTTTTAATACCCTCCATTGTGCTCTTCAACAATTAGATCTCTGTCCTAAATTCGTTCCTGAGTTCTTGATTATCTTTCTGTACCTCCATGAACATGTTAATGATTTTTATTATGAATTCCCATTCAGGAACAGTCATGAGGTCCATGTCATCTTTCTCAGGAGTTATATTAGTTTTACTCTGAACCAGGTTCCTTTGGCATTTCATATTTATATATGGCGCCCTCTAGTGTCCAGAAGCTCTACTCTGGGGCTCCTCAGCCCCTGAAGCAATGTTGGGGTGGCAGGGGAGCGGTACTAGTGCCTGGAGGGGGGAAAGAGCTGTTTCCTGCTTCCCAGCTGCTATGCCTGTCTCCACTGCCTGAACCAGTGGGCCAAGCATACAGGTATAAGCATCTATGCCTTGCATTTGTAGTTGCTGTAGACAGATCTTCCCTCTGGCTGGCCTAACACCAGGGTAGGGTTTGTCGGTTTGCGAGCCAGGTGGGGCTGGCCGGGAGAAAGGTGCAGTAGGGTGCCTATCACAGAGGGGGTTCTTGGAGCTGTGTAGCCAACCAGGGAGCTGGAGCACCTGTAAATCATGAAAGCCTCCAGCCTGCTGGGCAGAGTGCACCCGGACAATTTTGTGTATCCATCCTTTCTCCTGACCAGCAAGCTCTGTGCAATCCTTGCCCCTTTAGCAGCACTCTTGCTAAGGGCTTCCTTATTAGGAAGTCTCTCAGACTGCCCATCTTTCTTTTATCCCAGAGCAGCAGAATATGGATCCCTGCTTTCCACAGTGGCTGGAATCTCAGTCTCTCCAGGAATTCTGCCTGTCCTAGCTTTCCAGTCCCCTAATCACGAGAGTATCATGAAAGCACCATGAAATGTAGGTTTGTGCTCCCAGAGCAGATCTCCGGAGTTAGGTATTCAGCAATCCCAGGCCTCCACTCCCTCCCTGCTCTGTTTGTCTAACTCTTGCCAGTGAGCTGGGGTGGGGGAAGGGCTTGGGTCCCGCTGGGTGACAGCTTTGGTATGTTACCCTGTTCTGTGAGGTCTGCAGGTGTATGCAGTCTGGCGCAGTCCTCTTTCCTGTTGCTCTTTCAGGATTAGTTGTATTAATTCTATTTTCATATAATATGTGGTTTTAGGAGGAAGCCTCTGTCTCACCTCTCACACCGCCATCTTTAATCCTGTCTGGTGAAATCTTATAGTACCTTACAGTTCTGGTTATGAACATCAGGTGCCAAGGTGTGGAGTGTGGTTGCTACAAAAGGGATGAAAGATTTCAGCCCTCATGTGAGAGCACAGACCTTTGTGAATGAAGTCCTTCACCGCCAACTTGTTGTATTCAGCTCTTACTGAGTGAGTGTGGTAACAGCTCTGGCTACTGAGGGTTCCAGTTAGGTGGCTGTAATGGATTAGAATTTAGATCAACTAAATTAAAGAGTGTTGAGTGTGAGCTATAGATATTAGTTTAATTTTTACTTAGATTTTGTTTTAAAATAACTACTTTAAGTATTTTTCCAAAGCCTGTATTTTTAACTACTCTGAGAAGTAGGTTTTTGAGCTAAAACATGCATGATAAATTCTGGTAAGCAACTGTCATCAATTTGGTTCTCTTTTCAAATTATTAATTGTAAAAGTCATCAACTTTGCATTATGAAAAGTGTTATTTTAATTCTTCTCAATTTGAAGAAAAAAAACTAAAGTCTGTTAGCATTCCAGTTTTGAGTATTGAGAGAAGGAAGGTAATGGGATTCAGTCTCCTCATGTTCTGCTCTTTCTTTGCTCAAGTCCTAAAATGAGTGGATTACCTCCTAAAAACATACCTCATCATGGTCTTTAGTTGATGTTAGTGGAGTAATTAATGTATCTGCCAGTGGCACCTGGAAGTTGGCACATGCCTTCCTGGGTTTTAATCAATCTGTTCTTCTGTTTGATAGAAATAGTGCCTGGGTTGTGTTAATTATATTGCTCAAATTTCAGCAGCAAAATCCTTTGGCATCTGTGTGGCCTCAGAATAATGCTTCATGGGCATCAGTACACCTTCAAGGCCTGGATCAGGAGGCCAGTTTTTCCACCACCTGTTTCTGCCTCGCTCCCAAGAGATACGCTGTTTCCTGTAACAGAGTACCTCACCGTGGGAGCAGGGTGATCTGATGAGCAGTGATGTCTCTGGTATTAGGAATGGGGCCAGTTCCTATATTCAGATGCATTTCACTTACCTATTTTTTTTCTTTTTTATCTGTTTCCCCTTCCTCATCCCAGGCCTCGTTTAGGAACAGTCATGCACCGGGTGATTGGACTGGGGGTGCTTTACTTCCTCTTCGCAGCTGTTGAAGGCGTGATGAGAGTCATTGGGGTAAAGACTGCATAATTCCACCCTTCCCCCTTTTTGGTGTTGGTGTGAAATACGACTTTATATCTCCTGAGATGAAATTTTAAAGATAGGAAATTTATGGAAAAGGCGAAGTTTGAGCTTTTTTTCCTCCCCTTGTGGATTATTTCTTTTTTAATACTTGCTAAAAGTAAATGGCTAGATAGAGCTGTAGCTTTAAACAGTTTTATTAGGAAATAAAATCTTTTATGTGGTTTTTGTAAAATGGTGAGATGAGCTAAATTTTCTTTCTTCATCACATGATGATTCCTATAACATAATGAAACTTTTACATTCAGGTTTGTTACCCTGTTTTTATTTTTTAGGGTTCTAACCACTTAGCTGTTCTTTTTGGTGACATTATTTTAGCTGTCATTGACTCCATTTTTGTGTGGTTCATATCCTTTACTGTGTCTTCAAGTACTTTGTTGTAGCATTAAAATCAGATTACTTTTAATTTGTAATAATTATAGAAATATAGTTGTGTGTTACTGTTACCTCAATATAGGAATTTAGTTTAGTTGAAGGTGACGAAGAAATGGCCCCCCCTGAACAAAGAGTATCTTTATTTTTTCTATTCAGCAAAGTTAAGTGCTCAATAGGTGTCCCATACTGAGGAGGTATGGAAGAAAAATATCTTGCCCCTGCATTTAGGGAATTCACAGTCTGGTAGGGAAGACAAATACATAACTAGAACCTAAGAACAATATAGCAGTAGTAATTGCCATTTAAAAGAGGTGCTGTGCGAATGGAGGTCAGAGAAATTCTGACATAAACATCAGGAAAGACTTCACAGAGATGGTGACATTTAGTTTGAGACTGGTTTTACTAGGAAAAGATTTACTAGGAAAAGAATTGGGGAAACAGTATCCTGAGAAGATTGAGGGGAACAAATAGTTGGAAGCATGAAAATATAGGGACTGTAGCAGAATGTCCCAGAGTAGCTTACCTGGAGGTGACCGTGTGTGGGAGAATCATGGAAGGTGGGGAAGGGAAAGCTAGATGACATGCTCAAGAGCTGAGAGTTCCTTCTGAAGGTGGAAAGGAGAAAATCAAAGCTGTGCAGGTGAATGACATGGTGAGATCTGTATCAGAAAGAACATGAGGATGACAAGAGAAATGGCTTGGGAAGGGAGAGTCTGTACAAGAGGAAAGCTAGTAATGGGTCATTTGCAGTGGTCCAAAGAAGAGATGAAATAGGGCTGAGGAAATGGAAAAAAGGCTTCACATGATAGACTTGCTAGAAATGGGTGGCAAAGGAAGGGAGAAAATCTGATGAAAGCTGTGGAGCTTCTCTTCACAGACTATAAGCACTCACCCACACAAGGAGTTTTGCCTACAGTGGGACACTTAGAACCTCCCGAATTATACCCATAGGTCCCCTGTTGTCTGAGGGGTGTCCAGTTAAGAAATAATATCTGACTTAAAGAGTTGTTTCTGACCAAACTTGCTTAAAATTCATATTCTACTTCTGTCCAGAGCTACTAGTTTAGAATCCAAATTTACTGAATACAATTGTAGTTAAAGAAATGTGATCTTCTCAAGAGAGTGATAGAAATATCTGGCTCTAGTGGAATTTTTCATATTTTCTACATGAAAATGCATTTCAAGACATGCATTTGACCAGTTGTCAAAAAGGTGAAGTACGTTCTTCAGTTCTGCATGTGAATGGTGTCCCAGCTTTCAGAAAACGACAAGCCCAAAATGGAGTCGCTTGTGTTAGGCGCATGTCAACAAACTAAGACTTACTAGCTACCTACAGTTTCCACCCCATCAGGAATACAACCTTTAACCAGTCAACATGGAATTTCCTGGTCAGCAGTAGGAGTTTACTGATAGACCCCTTCCATCCCTCTTAGGAGCATGACCTTACCTAAAACAACGTAGTCTTTTCTAATTATATCCTTTTTCTGCTATCTCTCTGCCTTTAAAAACCTTTCCTTTTCTGCAGCTTGACAGAGCTCCTTTATAACTGCTAGATGGGATGTTGCCCAATTCATGAATGGGTTAAAGCCAATTAGATCTTTAAAATTTGCTTGGTTGAATTTTTGTCATTTAACACAGCCATGAGTACTCATCCTCAAGGGCTGTAGATCCTGTTCTGCCTCAGCCCTGACACTTAGTAGGAATGCTCTTCTGACTTGAGAATGGGCAGGTAGCATAAACATACCTGGGATTGGGATGGGGGAATTGCACTGAAGATTAACCTAGCTATTGGTCTCAGCATTACTAGCTCTGGATCTTAAAGTCTTCTCTTCTATCATTGTGTGTTTAGAAAGTGAGCTTAAGAGATCTCTTCAATTTGGAATTATCTTACTTCCAAATTGTATATGCTTAAAGCCTTCAATAAGTTTAGTATGTTCTTTAATGAGTTGAGCTCTAGACTGCATTTTTAAAAAAATCTCTACTATCTTTTCTCCTGATAATTCACAGATATGTATTTCAAAGATTTCTTGTTCTTAACCACCCACAAGGTAGTTCATTGGGAAAAACAGCAATGCAACTTGGCAGAAAATTCCAAAGAAAAGCAACTCTAATGGCTCTAATTCCATTTGGATTTGAATGAGGGTAATTTATCACTGTTACGTACAGTATTGGCTTTGGTCCATTCTGATACATAATAAGCCAAATTGGGGTGGGGAGATAAGGAAAACAAAGCAAAAGATTCAATTTGCTTAATTATTACTATTTTTAATAAAGGTGTTTGAGATAAAAGTCATAAATCCAGAAATTAAAATTATCTTGGTTAGTGTTTAATGATGAGAGAAAGGAACTTTAGTATCTGTTTCTCCTTGAGCCAGAATTTCTGGTGTTTGTTTTTAGAAATGGAAAGTCTCCTTTCTCTGTGCAAGAAGAAAGGCTTCCTAAGTAATTACACATGCTTAGCAAAGAAGGCGGGCCTGCATGCACACAGTTAAGTGCTTGGGTGATACATGGCTTGGCTTCCTTTGTCTTTGATGAACTTAATATGACTCATCCTTCAAAAATCCAACTCTAAAGTCTTAGGAAAACTAGCTTGAAAAATTCAGAAGCCTTAATCTTTTTCCTGAAGCTCTCCTCCCTTTCATTCTGCTTGTTTGTTTTAATTTTTTGCTGTTTTACTGCAGGCAAATGACTCTGATCTTGTGCTTCTGGCCAGCCTCCCCCTCTCTCTCCTTGACTCTGGCTTGTGCTGGTGGATATCCTTTTCTTACCTCAGCAGCCTGCTCACGGGGCTTCGAACCTCAGGATGATGGGGCCATGTGCTTCTGTCTCCGCTTTCCTTTAATGGAAGAAATGATGTAAGCCTTGCCTGGATTTAACAGTGTCCTGGTAAGTGGCGTCTTGGGCAGCTTTGGATTTGCTTTGGATCTTTTTATTCCTTGGCATTTAAACAACACTTCTGAATTGTTTAACGAGACCAGATTTTCAACTTGGAAAATTAGTTTTAGTCAGGAAGTTATAAGAAGTATTTGTCTTCATGATGCTTACTGAATGAATCACATTTGCACTTTTACAAATTCTGACAGCAGCCTTAATTGGTTGAATTGTGTTATTTTTAGAAGTTGATCTTCTTTTGCAATTGGAAAGATTGAAAAGCAGTCTTGGTAGTTTTAGTACTAAAATGAAGTTTTTGATTAATAAAGTATCTGGAATTTAAAATAAGCATAAATAACAAAAACTGCCACTACCATCCTGTGCACACCCGTGTTATTTTCGGCGTGTGGCTTATGACCAAGCCTGGTGGTGTGCTCCAGGAAGCCTCTGCCCCTCACAGAGAGCTCTGGCTTGAGGCCCAGCATCACTGCTGAGGAGTCAGTTCACAGGCTACTTTCTGCTGCTTCCTGCTTGACAGTGTTGAACTTTACATGAGCCCTGTGCTCCTGCAAAACAGCCATGGTTAAGGAAACCCTACCCTATCATGTTCCAGGAGACTTTGTACAGAGTACCCCCTTCCCAGGGACTTAGATGAGACTACCATGTGCCCCCTTATTTATTGTGACAAGGCTGGACACAGACCTGCGTACCTACTGACCCATCTGGACAGAATGCCAGCCTGGACTAAAGGAAGTTGTCCCCTTTCCCCAGTCCCTGAGCTTTTGTCTACTCACAGCCTTCAGAGGCCCCTCCTGAGAATCTGTAGACCTCAAGGAAAGTCATTCCCTCATCCACTGTCCAGTCACACTACATGTCCTCCACACCTGCTGCCCTCAGAGCTGTTTACTCCTCCCTGTACAAGCAGAGTCCTTTCCTGCCTGAGCTTTGGGACTCTTGAGTCAGAACACACTCCTATCTCAGTTGTCCTCCTATTGCAATAATCATTTGAATCAAGTCTCTTACTTAAGTCCAGATTTTTTGACACATTTCAGGTTTTTAGTTTTTAAAATGGAATTGATACTTGACCTAACTTCTTAATTATTGTCATCCAAAGAATAAAACAAGAATAGACTAGAAAGAACAAAATAGAAAGAAATAAGAGACAGAAAAGCACAAGCCAAATGGCATGTCATAATATGATCTGTAAAAAGTGTCTGGCCTAAGGAATACTCGGTGTTTACTGCTCTAATTTGTGTTTTGGGATCTGGGCATTTAAGGAGAACTTCATAGGTCTTGCTTATGTGTTTTTCTGAAAGTTTATTTAATGAAAAATAACAAAAATATCACAAAATCTGTGGTAAAACCAGAATTGTGATTATGTAGTATTGACTAAAACAACATTGTGTTTTTATTAGGTTTAAATTATAGGACTGTATTTAGAAGTACAAATTTTGGAAATTAGTTTCTTATTTTGTTTTTTATTTTAATTGCTTATTATTACTGTTTAAAATGTTTTTCCTTAACTTTTGTCACATTTTTATAAGTTTGGCACAAACTATGAAGACTCTAAGGCTAAGAAAGAACACAGTGAAATTTTCATTATACAGGCACTTTACAAATACTCTGATCTTTGCTGTAGTGGGTAAGCTGTTTAACTTTTCTTATCATAATTATTTCAGTGTTGCATGTGCCTTCAAAGGTGACTTTTTTTGGTGTATTTCAGCTTCTGTAGTGTTTATGGTATGGACAACTAAGACATTTAGGATTGCAAAATGTCAGTCAGTAAGTATAAACTTCTTATTTAAACAGTTTTCACTTATAATTATATATGTGCTATTTTGTATAATTTTGAAGAGTTTAGTTTGTGTTTGTAAATAGAAGTAATTTTAGTGGGATTTTCTATTTACTTTGTATTATTTTATATAGAATTATAAAAACATTAGCCTCCTTTAAATGAATCTGGAAAAGTTCCTCTTAAATCTATTTTTCCAGTTATGCCCTTTTCTCAACTTTTCTTTTATATAACAGTTCTCTCCCTATATAACTTAAGGTAACAGGAGATCTTCATAAAAACTATGGAATTGGGTTGTTTTGTATCTGACTGAGACTGTAAACCTTAAGTGTGACATGTTTCTAGGATGTCACCCTCATGACATTCAGGAGATACTCTCCATGGGTTCTCTATTAGAGAAGGATACATATTTTAGACTTAAAATATAAAAGGCCCTCTCCTGGGGACTTCTTGATTTGGAGCTAGTCTCTAATTCTACATAAAGTTGCCAAGAGCTGTGTGAAAATCCTGGCCTTCTGCTGCTCTTGGAACAATTAGTGGGAGAAGAGGCTGACCTTCTTTTTTCTCCTTCCCTCCCTCAGTATTTTCCACTAGGAGTTCTGAGTTTATCTTTTGGATTTTATTTTTGTTTTCTTAATCTTTTTGTTAACCCTTAAATTTTATGGAAGGGAAGTGTTTATAATGTTCATCAGCTCTTTAGAAACATTTCAAACAATGAAGAATGAAATCACCTGTCTTACTAAAAGCAAAATAACCTATAGGGTAAATATTACATTGAGATTTTACATCAGATGACATTCTAATGTCACCAGTTTCAAAAATACCTATTGTCAACTTGGTTCTAATTCTGTTAACCTGCCTCATGACAGGTTCTCGTCTAGAAAATAGATTAAATGACCTCTGAAGCCCTTATGAACTCTTAATTCTTGTTGTGATACTATACTATATAATTTATGTTAGGATTTTGTTTATCTGACTGGTTAATGTAAGCATTAAGGTTGATTTTATAAAGAAAGCATTTCTTAGTTTTTATGTTTCTTAAATAAGTACTTATTTAGAAGACTTACTGGTTGGAAACATGTCATTAGTACTTGTCATTGTACACATTTTAATAGGAAATCTGTATGTTTATGAGAAAATTAATTTTTCATGTTTGAATTGTCCTTATAGGATTGGATGGAACGCTGGGTTGATGATGCATTTTGGAGCTTCCTTTTTTCGCTTATTCTTATTGTAATAATGTTTTTGTGGAGACCATCAGCAAATAATCAAAGGTACCCAACAAAGGAAAATTAAAGTTTGACAGCATTTGTTGATCACCAGCTAGTGTTAGAATAAAAACACTTTTTTAAAAACCGTAGGGAGGCGGTCCTTGCTTTTAAAAGAGTATACAAGCAAGTAGGAAGGCAAATCTAACAAATGCAAGACAGTATAATAAGACATGTATAATCTGAGTCCAGGAGAAAGAAGAGGGGTGAGGAAGACTCCATGAAAAGGCAGTGTTTATGTTACGCCTTGAAGAAAGGAGCAGGACAGTGGAAAACTGAGCAGGGAGAGAATGTATGTTTTCTGAGGTAGTGGGAACAAAACAGTATACTTTGAAGATCATCAAGGCGGACAGTTTGGTTAGCACTACTTACATTGGAGGGAAATAAAGCTGGAAAGGAAGGATGGGACCAAAATAATGAGCTTGGGTGCAAAGTTCTGCAAATTGTACAGGTGATGGGATGCATATGATGGTTAAGTCCCACATTCCCTTGCCTCGTTCCTGTTCTCCAAGGAAACCACTGTTAAGTGTCTTGTACACCCTTGTAGAAAAAAATGAAAAAGATGTTACCAGTGTGTTTCTCCCTCTCTTTTTAGAATTATGCAGTAATAATAATACACACATACCTACATACACTGTTCTGCATCTTCTTGTTTAAGATGTATTTTTCCATATCATCTTGTGTAGATCTGCCACATTACTTTCAATGGCATGCCATAATAGGAATGTAGCATGCTTTACCTAAGCAGTCCCTAATTATTAGACCCTTTGTTTCTAGGATTTTTTGCTATTATCAGCAGTGCTCTTTGGAGGCTTTTTTGTTAGGGGTAAGTTAAAAAGTAGTGGCTAGGAGGAAAAATAACAGGCAGAAAGTTGCTTTCCCTGAACATTGTATATTGCAAAATTGCTTTCCAGAAAGATTCTATCCATTTATCCTTTTGCCAGCAGGGTTTGGGAGCTTCCATTTCACACTTTCTTCACAATAATCTTTGTTAATTTGAGGATAAAATCATTTTTATTTATGGTAAATTTTTAAAATGTAGATGTTTTTGTATGTAATGACTCCTTTAGATACAAACTAAAAACTGAACAGGTTTAAACATGCTACTAAAACTACTTGTTTTTGATATAGGTATGCCTTCATGCCCTTAATAGATGATTTCAATGCAACTTGGCAGAAAATTCCAAAGAAAAGCAACTCTAATGGCTCTAATTCCATTTGGATTTGAATGAGGGTAATTTATCACTGTTACGTACAGTATTGGCTTTGGTCCATTCTGATACATAATAAGCCAAATTGGGGTGGGGAGATAAGGAAAACAAAGCAAAAGATTCAATTTGCTTAATTATTACTATTTTTAATAAAGGTGTTTGAGATAAAAGTCATAAATCCAGAAATTAAAATTATCTTGGTTAGTGTTTAATGATGAGAGAAAGGAACTTTAGTATCTGTTTCTCCTTGAGCCAGAATTTCTGGTGTTTGTTTTTAGAAATGGAAAGTCTCCTTTCTCTGTGCAAGAAGAAAGGCTTCCTAAGTAATTACACATGCTTAGCAAAGAAGGCGGGCCTGCATGCACACAGTTAAGTGCTTGGGTGATACATGGCTTGGCTTCCTTTGTCTTTGATGAACTTAATATGACTCATCCTTCAAAAATCCAACTCTAAAGTCTTAGGAAAACTAGCTTGAAAAATTCAGAAGCCTTAATCTTTTTCCTGAAGCTCTCCTCCCTTTCATTCTGCTTGTTTGTTTTAATTTTTTGCTGTTTTACTGCAGGCAAATGACTCTGATCTTGTGCTTCTGGCCAGCCTCCCCCTCTCTCTCCTTGACTCTGGCTTGTGCTGGTGGATATCCTTTTCTTACCTCAGCAGCCTGCTCACGGGGCTTCGAACCTCAGGATGATGGGGCCATGTGCTTCTGTCTCCGCTTTCCTTTAATGGAAGAAATGATGTAAGCCTTGCCTGGATTTAACAGTGTCCTGGTAAGTGGCGTCTTGGGCAGCTTTGGATTTGCTTTGGATCTTTTTATTCCTTGGCATTTAAACAACACTTCTGAATTGTTTAACGAGACCAGATTTTCAACTTGGAAAATTAGTTTTAGTCAGGAAGTTATAAGAAGTATTTGTCTTCATGATGCTTACTGAATGAATCACATTTGCACTTTTACAAATTCTGACAGCAGCCTTAATTGGTTGAATTGTGTTATTTTTAGAAGTTGATCTTCTTTTGCAATTGGAAAGATTGAAAAGCAGTCTTGGTAGTTTTAGTACTAAAATGAAGTTTTTGATTAATAAAGTATCTGGAATTTAAAATAAGCATAAATAACAAAAACTGCCACTACCATCCTGTGCACACCCGTGTTATTTTCGGCGTGTGGCTTATGACCAAGCCTGGTGGTGTGCTCCAGGAAGCCTCTGCCCCTCACAGAGAGCTCTGGCTTGAGGCCCAGCATCACTGCTGAGGAGTCAGTTCACAGGCTACTTTCTGCTGCTTCCTACTTGACAGTGTTGAACTTTACATGAGCCCTGTGCTCCTGCAAAACAGCCATGGTTAAGGAAACCCTACCCTATCATGTTCCAGGAGACTTTGTACAGAGTACCCCCTTCCCAGGGACTTAGATGAGACTACCATGTGCCCCCTTATTTATTGTGACAAGGCTGGACACAGACCTGCGTACCTACTGACCCATCTGGACAGAATGCCAGCCTGGACTAAAGGAAGTTGTCCCCTTTCCCCAGTCCCTGAGCTTTTGTCTACTCACAGCCTTCAGAGGCCCCTCCTGAGAATCTGTAGACCTCAAGGAAAGTCATTCCCTCATCCACTGTCCAGTCACACTACATGTCCTCCACACCTGCTGCCCTCAGAGCTGTTTACTCCTCCCTGTACAAGCAGAGTCCTTTCCTGCCTGAGCTTTGGGACTCTTGAGTCAGAACACACTCCTATCTCAGTTGTCCTCCTATTGCAATAATCATTTGAATCAAGTCTCTTACTTAAGTCCAGATTTTTTGACACATTTCAGGTTTTTAGTTTTTAAAATGGAATTGATACTTGACCTAACTTCTTAATTATTGTCATCCAAAGAATAAAACAAGAATAGACTAGAAAGAACAAAATAGAAAGAAATAAGAGACAGAAAAGCACAAGCCAAATGGCATGTCATAATATGATCTGTAAAAAGTGTCTGGCCTAAGGAATACTCGGTGTTTACTGCTCTAATTTGTGTTTTGGGATCTGGGCATTTAAGGAGAACTTCATAGGTCTTGCTTATGTGTTTTTCTGAAAGTTTATTTAATGAAAAATAACAAAAATATCACAAAATCTGTGGTAAAACCAGAATTGTGATTATGTAGTATTGACTAAAACAACATTGTGTTTTTATTAGGTTTAAATTATAGGACTGTATTTAGAAGTACAAATTTTGGAAATTAGTTTCTTATTTTGTTTTTTATTTTAATTGCTTATTATTACTGTTTAAAATGTTTTTCCTTAACTTTTGTCACATTTTTATAAGTTTGGCACAAACTATGAAGACTCTAAGGCTAAGAAAGAACACAGTGAAATTTTCATTATACAGGCACTTTACAAATACTCTGATCTTTGCTGTAGTGGGTAAGCTGTTTAACTTTTCTTATCATAATTATTTCAGTGTTGCATGTGCCTTCAAAGGTGACTTTTTTTGGTGTATTTCAGCTTCTGTAGTGTTTATGGTATGGACAACTAAGACATTTAGGATTGCAAAATGTCAGTCAGTAAGTATAAACTTCTTATTTAAACAGTTTTCACTTATAATTATATATGTGCTATTTTGTATAATTTTGAAGAGTTTAGTTTGTGTTTGTAAATAGAAGTAATTTTAGTGGGATTTTCTATTTACTTTGTATTATTTTATATAGAATTATAAAAACATTAGCCTCCTTTAAATGAATCTGGAAAAGTTCCTCTTAAATCTATTTTTCCAGTTATGCCCTTTTCTCAACTTTTCTTTTATATAACAGTTCTCTCCCTATATAACTTAAGGTAACAGGAGATCTTCATAAAAACTATGGAATTGGGTTGTTTTGTATCTGACTGAGACTGTAAACCTTAAGTGTGACATGTTTCTAGGATGTCACCCTCATGACATTCAGGAGATACTCTCCATGGGTTCTCTATTAGAGAAGGATACATATTTTAGACTTAAAATATAAAAGGCCCTCTCCTGGGGACTTCTTGATTTGGAGCTAGTCTCTAATTCTACATAAAGTTGCCAAGAGCTGTGTGAAAATCCTGGCCTTCTGCTGCTCTTGGAACAATTAGTGGGAGAAGAGGCTGACCTTCTTTTTTCTCCTTCCCTCCCTCAGTATTTTCCACTAGGAGTTCTGAGTTTATCTTTTGGATTTTATTTTTGTTTTCTTAATCTTTTTGTTAACCCTTAAATTTTATGGAAGGGAAGTGTTTATAATGTTCATCAGCTCTTTAGAAACATTTCAAACAATGAAGAATGAAATCACCTGTCTTACTAAAAGCAAAATAACCTATAGGGTAAATATTACATTGAGATTTTACATCAGATGACATTCTAATGTCACCAGTTTCAAAAATACCTATTGTCAACTTGGTTCTAATTCTGTTAACCTGCCTCATGACAGGTTCTCGTCTAGAAAATAGATTAAATGACCTCTGAAGCCCTTATGAACTCTTAATTCTTGTTGTGATACTATACTATATAATTTATGTTAGGATTTTGTTTATCTGACTGGTTAATGTAAGCATTAAGGTTGATTTTATAAAGAAAGCATTTCTTAGTTTTTATGTTTCTTAAATAAGTACTTATTTAGAAGACTTACTGGTTGGAAACATGTCATTAGTACTTGTCATTGTACACATTTTAATAGGAAATCTGTATGTTTATGAGAAAATTAATTTTTCATGTTTGAATTGTCCTTATAGGATTGGATGGAACGCTGGGTTGATGATGCATTTTGGAGCTTCCTTTTTTCGCTTATTCTTATTGTAATAATGTTTTTGTGGAGACCATCAGCAAATAATCAAAGGTACCCAACAAAGGAAAATTAAAGTTTGACAGCATTTGTTGATCACCAGCTAGTGTTAGAATAAAAACACTTTTTTAAAAACCGTAGGGAGGCGGTCCTTGCTTTTAAAAGAGTATACAAGCAAGTAGGAAGGCAAATCTAACAAATGCAAGACAGTATAATAAGACATGTATAATCTGAGTCCAGGAGAAAGAAGAGGGGTGAGGAAGACTCCATGAAAAGGCAGTGTTTATGTTACGCCTTGAAGAAAGGAGCAGGACAGTGGAAAACTGAGCAGGGAGAGAATGTATGTTTTCTGAGGTAGTGGGAACAAAACAGTATACTTTGAAGATCATCAAGGCGGACAGTTTGGTTAGCACTACTTACATTGGAGGGAAATAAAGCTGGAAAGGAAGGATGGGACCAAAATAATGAGCTTGGGTGCAAAGTTCTGCAAATTGTACAGGTGATGGGATGCATATGATGGTTAAGTCCCACATTCCCTTGCCTCGTTCCTGTTCTCCAAGGAAACCACTGTTAAGTGTCTTGTACACCCTTGTAGAAAAAAATGAAAAAGATGTTACCAGTGTGTTTCTCCCTCTCTTTTTAGAATTATGCAGTAATAATAATACACACATACCTACATACACTGTTCTGCATCTTCTTGTTTAAGATGTATTTTTCCATATCATCTTGTGTAGATCTGCCACATTACTTTCAATGGCATGCCATAATAGGAATGTAGCATGCTTTACCTAAGCAGTCCCTAATTATTAGACCCTTTGTTTCTAGGATTTTTTGCTATTATCAGCAGTGCTCTTTGGAGGCTTTTTTGTTAGGGGTAAGTTAAAAAGTAGTGGCTAGGAGGAAAAATAACAGGCAGAAAGTTGCTTTCCCTGAACATTGTATATTGCAAAATTGCTTTCCAGAAAGATTCTATCCATTTATCCTTTTGCCAGCAGGGTTTGGGAGCTTCCATTTCACACTTTCTTCACAATAATCTTTGTTAATTTGAGGATAAAATCATTTTTATTTATGGTAAATTTTTAAAATGTAGATGTTTTTGTATGTAATGACTCCTTTAGATACAAACTAAAAACTGAACAGGTTTAAACATGCTACTAAAACTACTTGTTTTTGATATAGGTATGCCTTCATGCCCTTAATAGATGATTCTGATGATGAAATTGAAGAATTCATGGTAACGTCTGAAAATTTAAGTGAGTGATATCTTTTCTTATTACATTAAATTTTGTATTAAATTTATATATTATATGTAAATAATATATAAGTATTGTATATATTATAACAAAGAAATTTTGTACCTTTACTGTGATGCAAGGTTAATACATTTTTTTTCCTATAAACTATCTTCAGTAACCTCAATAACCTCAATAACAGCAGACAATCACAAGAAGAAAAGTTAGTAATGACATTTTCAAGATTGTTCATGTAGTTTGAGCTTTTGGTTGCTAGGTATTGAAAGTCTAGGTGTTGAAGTTAATTATTTGTTTTTCACAAAATGATGTAGTATATATTGTACTTAGTTCCTAAATAATACTCATCTTCTTGATGATTGGTAAATTTTTTACCTCATCTCTTGTTTTTTAAAATTATGCACATCTGTAATTTCCTGGACATGCCCAAAGCATTTCTAATTTTGGTTTTAATGTTGTTTTCATCTTCTCATTAATTTTTACATAGAATTTTATCATTTTATGAATCTTACCTTAGTACTCTAAAAATCTATTAAGGCAACATCAGTGTTGAGATTAATTTTCCTTTGTTTCATTTTGCCTTCCTCTTACTCTGGTTTCTTTATTAGTAGCATTCTTTGTCACATTTTTTTTTGTTCTCTGTCTAAAATACTGTGAAATTTTTATAATCTACCCATTCAGCAAAAATTGCCACATAATCAATGTGTCTTCAGTGTCCTCACTTCCTTTTACTTCTTCTTGTCTTATGCTCACCATCAACTGATTCCTTTTATGTTTTTGTGACTTTCCTATTATGAAAGGAAACCTATAAGTCTTATAGAAAAGATATTAAAATTCAGTGCATTCAGATTCTGGCTCCAGTAATGATGGAATAAATTCTATTGGACTAACCTTCCTGCTGAAAGCTAGTATAAAATCCTAGGCAGAATATTTTTATATTTAAACTGAAGGTGCTGGAGAACAACAGAAGCCTGCAGAAACTGGAGATTTGACTTTTGAATGAAGAGAACCACACTCTTGATAAATTCCACATTATAGAGCTTTTGTCCCAGTGCATGCCTAGTAGATGTGGTGGTACAGTGGCTAGAGCTCAAGTAGATACGTGCAGTCTGAGCTCAAGTAGATACGTGCAGTCTTACTGATGCAGGGAATTGGAGTGTGGAATCTGGGGCTATAAGAATGCTTGGAAATTGAGGGAACAAATTCAGAAAAGAGAGAGTCACAGGAGAGATTCCAAAATCTGTAAAGTCTCTAGAGTCTTAACTGGTGCCTGAAGTGGGCATGTGCAAAATGAGACTCCAAGAGTCTGAGAGAAAACAATAGCCATTAGGCTAAGAAACAGAACAGAAATGTCAGCAGCTGCCACTGCAGAGTTTGAAATTCAAATCTCAACAAGTTAAAAGTGTTTGGGTTAACACCTTGGGCTTTCCACTAAAACTTTAGAAGGGCCACTCTTTAGAAGTAAAGACCATATTCTAGGACTGCTGAAAATTATCCTAGGACTAAAGCTGAACTGAAATAAATCCACTAATAAAATCTAAAACATCCTTGTAAGGTGAAAGTGATCCAGCAGTAATTTAAATGCCTCCAAAACCAAAACCTAACACTTCCTAGAGGAAGATACGAGAATCTGGAGTCTCTACGATATCATCCTCAATGTCTAGTAGTCAATGATAAATTACTAGACATGGGGTGAAACTGAAAACTGTGACTCATAGTTAATGGAAAAATTGATCAGCAGACACCTAGAGGTGGTCCAGATGTTACAGTTAGCAAGAAGGCCTTGGAAAATAATTATTATAAATATGTTTTAAAATCTTTAGGAATAGGCTATAACCAAATAAAATAAAAGTTAATGAATGTTTGAAGAAAAATCAAAAGAAATTTTATGAACTGAAAACCAGAGACCAAAGATTGGAAATGAGTGAACGTAATTTCTGTGACCCATGGGACAGTATTAAACAGTCTAACATACACATGTTTGAACTCCAGAAGAGAGAATGGGCATACAGAATATTTGAAAAATATGGGCCAGAAGATTTCCAGAATGGATCAAGAAGCATACCCCATAGATCAGGAAGCTCAGTGAACCCCAAGGAAGATAAATACAAAGAAAACTATACTTAGACAATATAGTCAAACTGCTGTAAACCAGAGGCAAAGAAAAATCTTAAGAAGCCAGAGGAAAAATGGTATATTATATTCAGGAGACCAGTGAGAAGGATGACAGCCAACTTTTCAGAAGCATTGGAGTCCTACAAACAATAGAATGACATTTTAAAATAAATATTAAAAGTAAAAAAGTGTCATCCTGGAATTCTATGCCCAACTAAAACATTTCAAAAATGAAGGTGAAATAAAGATATTTTCAGATAAATGTAAGCTGCAAGAATTGGTCATTAGCAGACCTTGCACTAGGAGAAATGCTAAAGGAAATTCTTTAGACTTAAGAGAAATGCTGTCAGTTTGAAATTCAGCAAGGAGACTGAAGGAAGAACACTGAAAATAGTACATACATGGATAAATATACAAGACCATTTTCCCTTTTTTCCTTTAATCTTTTAAAAGTTAATTGGCTTTGTGGCAAATATATTGTAAGACATATATAGAAGTAAAATGTGTGATTATAAGTAAAATCTACAAGACAGGAGAAGGTGTAAATGAAATCAGTATTGTATTACAGATCTTATATATATTCAAAGTAAATTGTAATGATCTGAGAAACACTGGAAAGGAAGGAAGGAACATATCAAAAGAAAGAGGAAATAAAGGACATACCAAGGAATTGAAGGACAGAGGGGACAAACTAAAAGTAGCAATTTGATAGACTTCAACCTAATTATTTTAATAATTATATTGCAAATGGACTACCTGCTCAAAGGAATAAGCAGAGATGTGTTTTATTCTTGAGTATATACTGGAAATCCAATAGATTTTTAAATACGTAAAATTTAAAATGTATTGAAACTAAGGAAATATGTATGTATACTTGTTTGTCAAAATTCCTATAAAACTAGGATTCAAACTAGCAACTTGAAAACCTTGTTTTTGGAAACTGAAATCTGTTCATTTTTCCATACCTCCTACATTTCTAACTGATACATTAAAGCCAGCACCCTGTCCAAAGCTGCCACTATTAACTCTCTTTTAAAATATACATATAGAAACTTTTTTTCCTTGTTGGTTATAGATGTGAGGCTATACAGGACAATATTATTTTCTAACTTTATATATTTATCTCATATTTCTCAATATAGCTGAAGGTATAAAATTAAGAGCTTCAAAAACAGTTTCCAATGGAACAGCTAAACCTGGTACTTCTGATAATTTTGTGAGTATAATATAATACATATTTGAGTATATGTGTGTGTGTGTGTTTATATAAACATATATATATGAGTAGAGTACTTATTTATAATATTAACTAGGGTCCCAGTCTTTAGTACTTTAGAATTCTGTATGAGTGTCACAAATGTCAGGAGAACATGTTTTACTGAGATTTTTTTGTATGAAAATAATGTTATCAGGCAGTGATACCAGTTAAGTCCAATAACTGTACCTGCTGCAAAGCCTCCTTTTCAGCTGCTTTTCTTTGACCAGCAGCATAAACATCACCTGGGAACTTGTTAGACAGGCAGAATCTCAGTCCTGCTCCAGGTGTACTGAATCTAACTTTGCTTTTTAGCAGGACTCCATAGATGATTCACATGCACATTAAAGATTGAGGAGCTTTATTATAGTAAAATAATTTTTCAGCTTTTTAAAGTGATTTTTGAAGTCATTTCAGATAACTTGTTATCCATTGGGAAGGGACTTTATGTATTACCTATGCAGTTAACAAAATTAGCATTTTTTATATGGTGGAAGCTTGAATAAAATGGTAACATATAGGACAGAAATGAATTTTAAAATGTTCTATGCATATTTATGTGTAAAAGTGATAATTATGAAAGGCAAAATGGAAAAGCTTATACAGTTTTAAATTCTGCTTTCTTACAGTTATATATTGTGATTAATATGGTGTAGAAATTTATGTATGCATGTAAGTCTGACAGGACAGATGATAAATGAGAACAGTTTTATCTGTTGGATTTGGTAAATTCTCTAGTTTTTATTTTTAGTAATCTTTAAAATGTGTTCTTTGAGTAGTTTTATGCTAATATAACCATAAAAAGATTATAATGGTTTTAATTATCTGGTGTTGGAGCTATTAAACTTCAAATTTGTTAAGATATTTTCCTCTTATTTTTGGGATATATCTCAGTTTATTTCAAAACTCAGTAGCTGCAAACACATCAAGGGAATACTTTTTCATTTCTCTAAGTGTAGTCAGTTTACATAGGGGTTTCCAGACCCAAATCCAGTACCTCATTAAATGATCCATAAAGAATCAGCAGCCAGATGAAGAGAGGGCAGGTCCCAAAGGAGCCTCTCTCCTTGTGGAGCATGGGGCTGGGCTCAGTGGCACATGCAAGTGTTCTGGTTCCCCAAATGTGGAAGCTTTCCAAAAAAGGGAAAAAGGAAAGGACCAAAACACTGCCCTCTTGGGTTTTTTAGGAGGCTCCATTACATAGTCATGATTGATGAGGTCATTGGCCATTGGCTGATTCAATCTCCAGCCCCTCTCCCCTCCCCAGAGATCAGGGAGCTAGGAAATGGTGGGGTTCTGTGTGGAGTTGAAAGTTCCAGCTCACTAATCACATGGCTGGTCCTCCTGGCAGCCCGCCCCTGCCCTTGGGTGGGGTCTGAAAGTCACCTTCATTAATAAGAAGACACTCATTTCACTTGTATGTCATCTGAATGACCGAATATGTATTCCGTATAACTCATATTGCAGAGCTCTTGGTCAGAAGTTGGATGCCTTATCTTTCATTGACTTATTTCTACCTGAGACTCCCTTAGAGAATTAGGGGTCCTACTAATACTGGCTCAGTTGCAGTGTTCTTTATTTTTATTTTACCTTTTAGTTTTCTTTCTCCCAGTGAGATAGCTATAAGCTAGATTGTTTAAAAAGAAAAAAATAGATACCCTAGCTGACCTGCTTTCCTTTTCTTGTCTGCTGCAGAGAGATGATCATAAATACAAGTGGGTTTTTGTAAAGTTAGAACATTTGTACTTTTTTTCAGTTGGAAAATTATACCATCTTTTGCTCTTGGAAAATTATAAACTGTTGAAATAAAATATTGAACAAGTTAGGCATAATGCTGGCATTACTATAGATAATATTCTTGCTATTTTCTGTCATAAATCAACTCCTGAGTTTTTATTGTGGTTTTCAGGACAAAAATAACCCCTGTGCATCTAATTAAAACAAGAAGTACAAAAATCTGAAATCCACATTTTTGTTTGTTTGCCCGTTTAAGAAAGTACTGCATAATTTCTGTGTGGCATAAGTGCCAATTTCTTAGGATATGTAGAAATTAAAAGAATATCATGCATTTGAATTTAAATGCTTAAATTTTATATATATTCTATTTAAAAGTACTTGCTGTCAGGTGATATTAAGCAAATGCTAATATATAAATATTTATTCTACAGGATGAAGATTTGAAGTGGGTAGAAGAGAATATCCCCTCTTCATTCACAGATGTGTAAATATCCTCTTTTAAAGCTTGAATCTGAAAGTTAGGATACAGTATAAAGGGATAATTTTCATAGTTATGTGCTGTGTTTTTATAGGCCCCCATCACTAGTGATGCTGTACTTCATTTCTCACTAAAGAAATTACACATCTCTGCTTTAGTCTCCTTCTCCTTCCTTTTTGACTGTACTACTCTTTTAAAACTCATGGCCTATAACCAACTCCAGCCTTGTCAGATCTAAGTTTATCAGGATTAGAACCATTTTATCTTGTTTCAACTTTCTGTTATGAAAACATTCCAACCTCCATTTGAAACAAAATGTAAAAAAAAATTTTAACACATATAATCACAATACCATATATGTTGGGGAAGCTTTTGGAGGAAAAACATGAGCATAGGAAAAATAGAGCCCTGAGCAATTCCCTCTAGGAACTTTGACCTGTTCAGGTTCTTCATCAGTGCTCTGACACAGAGTTCCAAGTAGCTGTTTCCACAGTAGAAAACAGGATACCTAACTGTGGTAATGTTTTCACGTACTGTTCTTTCCTTTCATTGCCCTCATTTACTCCTATTTATCCAGTTCCTATCTAGTATAATGCTCTATTTTCCTGAAGAATTTCCTTTATGTTTCTGGTAGTGCAGGTATGCTGGTAATGAATCTCAAGTTTTATTTGTTTGAAAAAGTCTTTGTTTCAAGCTTTTTTGAAAGGTATTTTTTGCTAGGTATAGAATTCTTTGTTGACCATTTTCTTTCAGCACCTCAAAGACTGTCATTTGAATGTCTTCCAGCTTTTGTAGTTTCAGAAAGAAGACTGCTTTAGTTCTTAAGTGTTCCTGCATATGTTGTATATGTTTTGTTCTGTGTGTGTGTATCTGTGGCTGCCTTCAGGATTTTCTCCTTATATTTGGCTTTCATCACTATGAGTATGATAATTCTAGATGTATTATGTGTGAACACATATCTTCGTTTCTCTTGGGTACATACCTAGAACCAGAATTGCTAAATCATATGGTAACTATGTCTAGCATTTTGAAGAAATGCCAAGCTTTTTTCCAAGTAGCTGATCCATTTTATAATCCTGTCAGTAATGTTTGGGCCTTCCAGTTTTTCTACATCCTGGCCAGTATTTGTTATTGCTCCCCTTTTTTATTTTAGCTCTCTTAGTGACTATGGAGTGAAATCTCATTGAGTAACAAGAAATTTGAACTGCTTATTGAGGAACTGTTACTTAACTAAACTGTGGTAATGGCAATTCACACAACCAGATTTGTGCAAAGTGAGAACTGCCTTTATATTATGAAACTAACAGCACACTATTAAACTTTTTTCTTTTAAGAGTCACAAAAGGAAAATAAATGTATATGTATTCTTTTATATTTACCCATGCATTTAGTGTTTGTTCTTTCTCTTCTGTATGTTGAGTACTGCTTTCTTCTGTAGGTCTTTCTTTAGTATTTCTTATAGATGCAGAAACAAATTCTGTCAGTTGTACTTACATGAAAATGTATTTTTGAAGGATAGTTTTTGCCTGATATAAAAATCTTGACTGACTTCTGCTTAAACACTTCCAACATGTCCTTCCAGTATTTTCTGGTTTCTGTTGTTTTCGAAGAGAGAAGTCAGTCATTTGTTGTAATGTATCTTCTTTTTTTTTCTTTTGCTGCATTTCAGGCTTCATATTTGGCTTTCTGCAGTGTGTATATAATGTGCCTAGGTGTGGTTTTCTTGGTGTATTTTCCTTGGAATTTATTAGGCTACTTGGCTCCATATCCTTGCTCCTGTTGGTCATTTTCCAGTACTTTAAAACAATTTTTAATACTTTTGTCCAGGTTTTATAAATGTTTTTAGCGTCAGAGTCATCTGACCTATTCTCTCTACCTTTACCTGCTGTCTTCCATTTTTACCACTTTCTCTATGACCCTTTTTACTTCTTTCTCCACATCATTTTCTTTCTTCTAGTTGTTTTCCTGCCACATATTAAGTCTTTGAGTTTATTCTCCCTTAGACATCTTGTAATTTTTTCTTCATTACCAAGATGATTTTGCCTTTTTCTTCTAATTATTTTCCTGAGTTTGACTCTGAATTTTTTCCTGTTATTTTTAATCCATTTTTGCTCTTGTTTTTAAATTTATTTTTGTAGATTTTTTAAAATGTTACCAAGTATTCTTTTTAACTTAATTTCATTTAATTTGGAGTGTTGTGTTATAGCTGCTAGAATTGCCATTTATTTCAAGACTTACATATAATTTCAGGTTTGCAGTATTTTTCTGGTAATGCTGCAGACCATGAATTGTGTGTGGTTTTATTTGCAATCCTTTCAGATTTTATGGTTTTGAGTAAGGGATTGTAGAGATTAGGTGGCAACCATTACCTTATAGATTTGGCCACTTGTTAGAAAATACTCTTAAAAGAAAGCATCTAAGTAGACTTGCCTCCTGCTATGTCACCACTTCTTGGCAGAAAGCAATAAGACAGCCTGCCTAGATCTGCTTACATCTTACATAGCTCTTTACGCTTTTTAAAATTTAAATAGAAGTAGCTGCTTGATTACAAAAATTCCTTTGCAATATAAAAGACTAAAATGTCTTATTTTATGTTTCCTGAACCATTTTTGTGAAATTAAGAGCTGTGTAGTCCAAGATAGTTTCCAGCATTTTAGGTTCTTGGAAACCAGTGTGTGTTCATTTCTGAAAACTTCTAACACAAGACATTTAGCACAATACTGCCCAAAATTAATGTACAATTTACATAGCACGTTTAGAATTTAGACTTCATACACAGATAAACTCTTTTGTATACATCTATAGCAATTGAGTAAAAATTTTGCAAGTGATAGGACCATTTAGACCATCATGAATAACCACGTAGCCCAGTATATTGTATATGAGATATTTGTATGACATGCATTATGACTTTATCTCTGATAAGCCATAAAGGTCAGCTTAGCATAATTCACCTCCCTCTTCAGTGAACTAAATTACATCTTAATAAGTTTTAAATATTTATTAATGCAGAAGGAACCATTTTTGAGATTGCTAGTGTTTATCTCTAAACAGCGCTAAGTACCCAATGGACTGTCATCCAGGCCCCTAAGGTTCTGGTTCATCTTTCCCCTAATGCAGTCTTCTCTGGATTTTCCTTAATAGTGTTATTCCAAAAATCTACCTTGGCTTCTTTCTCACATCTAGTTAGTCTCCCAGGTCTCTTTCTTCTGCCTTCGCCATGGACTGCACTGTAAGTAGTACCCTCCGGAGTTGTGCATTGATGTGACTTTTTATGTTGTAACTTTGGCACGTAGATTTGTCCCTTCAGGCTCTCTCTCTCAATGAGGGAAAATATCACACATCAAGACTATGTTTTTGTCTTTTCTTTTTATCCACATTACCTTTCCCAAGCAAAGGTTATGTTGTATAACACTCTCCAGGTACTTTTCACTGGTAGATGTCCAGTCAGTGATGGTAATGATGTGGGAATTAAACAAATACTTGATTCTAATAAATGCCACCTGTGGGTTTTCAAATTAGCTAGCACATCGCACTCAGATACTGGCCCAACTATTCAAAGTGAAAAACAGGGGCTTAAAAAATTAGTATCTAGTTGGCTGTCAGTTGTGTTTGGAATTACTCATATGTACAGTTTAGTTATTGATATTCCTCTGATCTTGTTTTTTGTTGTTTCCATTTTGATGTTAGGATTATTTTCATATTTCTGTTAATTTTTAACAGGAATTTTTTTAAAGTATAGCACATGTACTGGAAAGTACAAATTCTAAGTCTAATAAATCTTTCATATTAGTGCCTCATGTAACTTAGCACCCAGATTTAAAAAATAGAACATCACTAGTGCCTTAAAAAAACCCTTATTTTTCTCCCAAATCATGACCCAAAGGTACTGCTGTCCTAACGTCTGTAATTGTAGGTTATTTGTGTTAGTTTAAAAAACTATCCTTCAGTAATCCATTTTCTTTGCTTATAGTATTCCATTGTATGGATATACCACAGTTCACCCATTTGGGCTATTTTCAGTTTGGAGGCTATTAAGGATAATACTGCTATGAAAATTCTTCTGTGTTGGTTGGTGAACCTAGGATTCATTTCTGTTGGCTGTGTCTGTCCAGGAGTGAGAATTGGTGGATCATAGGATATGCCTTTATTCAGTTTTAGTAGCTATACTGGCCTTTTCATGACATTGTCAATTGTTTTTTGTTTTTTCAGAGCTCTTCCAGTATTAGTGGATTCAGATGAGGTAAAGTATATCTTTTTGCTTTTTTCCTTTAAGCTGTTATTTTCACAAAATAGAAATGTAGTTTAAAAAGGAATTCTGAAAGTTACATTATAGAATGATTATAAACTGAGCAGGCTGAAAGACCAGGCACCGATCTGTGGATAAAGTATAAAGGGGCTGTGGATCCTCAACACAGGAGCAAGATACATGCTCATTGGTGGAAAAGAAGGGAAGAATTATTGTATGAGATTCTGAGTCTGATGTTCTAATAGGCACATAGGTAGAAGTTTTAAAAGACTTTGGAAGATGGCAGTTTGTCTAAATCTCATTTGTAGATATTTTAATGAAGTATTAAATAGAGTTTCAATCTTATTTTCATTTATTAAGCAGGTGGTTTGAACAGAGGATGTGCATTTAAGAAGGCTCTGGGGGGAAAATTAGTTGTGGATCATCTGGACATTGAAGGGGCCCAAGCCAGGAAGTCCAAAGTGTGAGAATGAAAGGGTAGATGTGGGAACATTAGCTTATAAGAATGAAGAGTAGAGAGAAGTTAGTGGTAGCTAAAGAGTAATTTATGTAGACTACGGCTGTGGAATATTAGAGAAGGTACAGCTGCTGGGTTGGCTGTCGTGAATAAGAAGTTGTGAAAAGGCTGCAGTGTACACATACCTCGCTATGAAACAGGTGAGCTTCAGGATTTAAAACTCTACAGAAAGATACACCATGGAGAATTACTTTTAAAAGAGCCTTTGTAGTATTGATTTTATAATCTCAAAAATACATAAATTGCATAAAGAAAGGGAAATCCCTAGATGAGCCATACCAAAGAAATCCATTCTAGCTGTCTCTGCCTCTCATGGGTGATTGTGTACTCAAAACGTTTTCTAGCTAGAAAGACATTAGAGTTTCTGAACTTCTCAGCAGATCGTTGATTATGCATTGCTAAGAAGTGTGGATTATATGATTTTTATACATAAATATAAATATATACATATATCATAGAATATACTTAGTTCCCCACAAAATTGTGACTATTAAAAGATTAGATTAGGCTCTTAAAGAAGCTTCAGCATTTTGATGCATATCTTTTTTTTTCTCCCCTTTAGGAAATCATGACCAGATCTGAAATGGCAGAAAAAATGTTCTCTTCAGAGAAGATAATGTGATTTGAACCCATATAAATGAGACCTAGTTCATGGTAAAGGGCCTCCTCAAGACTAAGACTAAGAGAGCTTTGTTCTGATAGAATGCCACAAGTTTTTATTGCATTATCTTGGAAATCTATGCATGAAAATTAAGAATTCAGGTGGTGGGAAGGTTCTACATCCCTTTTTAAGCTACTCTTGAGTGTCAGTTTAATGTTCATTATGTTGCCTAGACATGGAAATAACCTAAGAAAAGTAGTAAGGTAAACATGTATGTCCAAATGCCCTTAGCATACAGGTGGCAGGCATGTGGATTTCTTTTCTCTGGAAAATATAACAGTTTCAGATTGAAAAACAGTTTTTACATCAGCACTCCTACTGTTCTCCCACTGACCTTTGAGAGATGATAGGATTTTCTAATGTGTGGTAAAGCAGCCTCACCCCTCCTGTTTATAGCTCTAGATGCAATAATTTTCTTTGACTTTTAAACTGAAGTGTTAAGTGATAAGGTATTAAGTAAAACTCAGTTAACCTTCGAACATAAGCATGTTTATATGATTGGTTTTGGTGTGTGTATATGTATGTGTATGTTTACTTGTCTGCACAAAGTTCTTGTTTGTAAATATGACCATGCACATCAAATCACAGGGTTGGGTTTTCTGGTCTGAACTCAGGGGAACACAAGTACACGGAGGGAGAAGTCTTAAGCGTCACTTCCAAAGACTTGCTCTGCTGTGACCCCCTCACTCAGTTGGTGTCTGGGTCTGTGTGGGCAAGTGGCGGGCACCTGGCCACATGGCGCCCAGGGTACTTCCTCCCCAGTGGGCTGGGCAGTTCATTGCCAATGAGCCTTGCAGAAACTACAACATTATCTTTTATGTAGTATTGGCATATCTGGTTTCATAATAAAACATTCTTAATTGCACAATATGTCACTATTAATTTTGTAATTATTTAACCTGCATATTTTATACATTATTTTGTTACATTATATGGTAATGTGCCATTTGAAATGTTTGTTTTAATTTCTTTTCTAAAAATGCAGAATTTCCTAAACTTGAAAGGCAATTGAATGTACTATGATGGAAATGTGAACATTTTGCTGCTTTTGTGACCAGAGATACAGGCTAGTGGACATTTAGAGTAAGAGTTAGAGTCTTGTATCTTGTATGCCATTCTTTGAAGGAGTTCTAGCCTTGTGAATTGAGAATGACTTAAGAGAATTTTGACTGAATTAAATTCTTAACGAGTACCAACACTTAAATATAACCTTTAATATTTTTCATTATTAGTTCACAAAACAACATTTTTCTTTTGAATTTATTTCTCATTTACTCATTTCATAGGAGTTAGTAAAAAAGGTTTATTTCTAGTAGTAATATCTCTTGAAAGATAGTTTCAAATTTATTTTCCTCAGTGAACATTTACAGTGTTGTATAGAAAAGGGCATAGTTTTCAAGATGCCATTGCATTCAGGGTATCCTTTTTGGGAAAAGAGTGTCTCCTTTAACAGTGTGGGTTCTGTTCCCTATTTCGCTTTCTGCCACAGCAGTGGCCCCCAGCTGCTGCCCTGCCCAGCACCTCTGTCCGCTCTTGTTTTGGTGTATGGTACCCTCAGCCCAGCTGTTCCAGAGTTGGAGGTGGCCACTGCCTTCCTGTTCCAGACATTTTTAGCAGGTACCTCTCCCCTGATTCTGAAGCAGATTGACCCCCAATTCATCATATTCTAGTTGAATTTTGAAATGTGGAATCTTGGGCTTCCAGCTTGTAGGAGCTGCAGATTTAGTGGAGTGAGAAGGGGGAGTGGATGGTAAGTGTGATAAAGAGGAACTGCCTCTGCCATATTAGTCATGTTTGTAAAGATGCTTCTTTCTGCAGCTGGAGAGGTAAATGGCTCCTATATAGCTCAACTGTAGGCTGAGATGCATACTTCTCTTATCTTCCAGGAAAGCAGGATTCCCTCCTGAGAGCCTTGTCAGAAACGGTTTTCAAAGCGTTTTCAAAGCAAGTACTGTGTCACTTGCAGTGACAATGGCACTGTCTCTTGATGTCTCATGACCTGAGTTGAGTATTCCTGTGGAGGGGTGCCTAGCTCCTTCATCTGAACGGAAGAGGATACCTGGGGGTGGGAACGGGAGCTCATACGAAGGGTGGGGCAAAGTTAATCCCAGGCCACTGTGCGGTTTCACCGTGCTTCCGCACAGAGTCCCAGAAATAGTACATCAGAGCTTCTGAGGCTGTCAGGTCATTGATGCCTAGGATACCATGACGATGGGTGTCCGTATGAATGAAGAAATCTGAGGATAGGAGTCCAGTTTTGTGTGTTTCTAGGCAAAGTGCTTAAGTGTTTTTATTTATGCAGTTCATGATTTATATGATGTGTGAAGCTTGCTTAATGAAATTTTTACAAGTTGGGTTAGATTAGTATTTAAATACCTCGTTTAAAGGATAGTTTATTCCATAAATAGGGGAAATAGATAAATATGTGAATCTTTTTAAGCCCTAGAGATGATGTTCCCATACTTTCCCTGGAAAGGAAATAATATTTAATATCTTACATAGCCTGTAGAGAATACCAACTATTCCTCTGTAATACAGTATATTGTTTGCACTACTATAATGTCAAGACTGAAAGTATAAAAACTGTACATAAATGTACATACATGGTTGAATTTTATATCCTTTTTAAAAAGGTTTGAGTCTGTTGCCTTAGGCTATCCTGACTAGTTTAAAACTGAGAGATGTTATGCCAGATTTATAAATCACTAGTTTTGGTACTTGTGTCTTTGTATGATCAACAGCATGCATTAAGCAATACGAGCACCGACCACCAAGCCTTATGCTTACAAGGGAAGTTTAACATTGGTTAAAGTTCTAAACATAATAAATGTGTGTAAGTGACAAAACTAGATTTTTAAGGAAATGTACATTATAATATAGGAGTTCAGTACTACTTTGAGAAGCCTCTTTAGAACCAGGAAAACCTTCTTTTGTTCGGGGAGAGAGTTTAGAGGCTTAAGAAGTTTTATTTTTATATTGAAAGAAGTTAAGTTATTGTATAATTTGGAAGAAGTTGCTTTACACATAGAACAAAACTGTCAAAAGATTTTTGTTTGAAAAAAAATTGATGTATTTTTGTGCCTTAATATTTGTTCTGACTTTAAATAAAATGCTTTCTGAAATTTGAGATGATTGATTCTTGATAATATCTACTGGAGTTACAGTATGTAAATCTTCAGGAAATGTAGACTCGAATCAGTGGCAAGGCATAAACAAAATTTTTATAAGACGAGATACAACTAATTAACAAATATGGAAAAGTGTTCAACCCAAGTAGTGATCAAAGAAATGCAAAGTAAAGGGAAATTCTTAAAAATCAAATTAACACAAGTTTATAGTATGTATTTGTAAACTCTTTGCTTTCAAAGTCTACTGAAATGAACACATTAATGATGGTGATGTAATTGACTAAATCTTTATGAAAAGAAATTCAAGTGTTATAACTTTTGAATGCTGCCAATTCTGGTGTTCTTAAAAATGATTCAACATACAGTTGAACCTTGAACAACAAACTAACTTTGTAGGGGTCAGGGGCACAGACCTGCATATAAGATCTGCATATAACTTTTGACTCCCCAAAAACATAACTACTAATAGCCTACTGTTGATTTTATGGTAATAAATGATGAGGGACTAGTACCTACATATCTTTTATGCATTCATGTATCTTTTTCTCAATATTTTAAAAATATTTGTAGGCTGTGTAGTTCTGCAAGTGTTTTCAAATTATCACAGATCTCAAAAAGGTTCTCAATATTTTTATTGAAAAAGAAATCTGTGTGTAAGTGGACCCACACAGTTCAAACTCATGTTTGAAGTTCAAGGGTGAAATGTACAGAATCAGGCTTCTGCACAAAAAAAGTTTATTGAAGTGTTATTTAAAGTAGAGGCAGAATTGGAAACAAACTAAATGTCAGTTGTAGAATAGTGAGTTATGGTCCAACCAGCAACTTTATGGAATACTGTACAACCATTAAATTATTATGAGAAATTTATAATGACTTAGAAAAATGCTATAAGAAAGAATGATGCAGAGTCACGTAAGTGAGCTCTTATCTATATGAAAAAGAGAAAGGATTGAGTGGAAATGTGCCACCATGGCACTCATGGTTAGTGGTGTTTAGGTCCTGCTAGGCTGTGGTCATAACTTCATTCCAACTTTTCAGTGGGTTAAGACAAAAAGTTTATTTCTTGATCATGTAACAGTTCTGGGGTGGGTATGGAGGTGGGCAAGGCAACCCTCCTCCACAGGTCCCTCAGGGACCCAAAGTTTTATTTCCGGTTTGTGGGCACACCATCTCCTAGGGTCTGTCATCTGCATCTAGCCAGCAAGAGCAGGGACGGCGCCCTAGCCCCGTTTCTCCTGTCTTCTGGGGCTGTGCAGCTCTGTCTGCCTGGGCTGCTGCTTATTGGAAGATTATCCTAGTTCAGAGATGTAGTTACAGGAGAGGAGCTTTTACCGACTTCACCAAGTCACTGCTGTTCCATTGCTAACTTCAGGACTAACTGGAAACCTGCTCCAGAGTATCTTTGTACCTGTGTATCTCAATTCAGCTGCTTTTCTTTACATTCTCTATGACAACCAAATTGATCTATTAATTGCTTCTAAATACTCCTTTTAGATACCCTCCTATATAAAGAAAATGGAGTAACGGGTCATAGTTATCCTTCTGCTAGAAACAACTAAAACACGGGGTGCTATGGTGAAACTGGTTTTGGAGACCCTTTGACGTCAAGCAGTAAAAAAAGTGACAAGCTGAGAAACAAGTGAGGTGGGGACAACACATGTACCAATATACTGCCTGGAGAGAATTTCAAGACTACAATACAGGGCTAGAGAACCAGGTACAACCTAGAAATGTCCCTCCATTGAAAGGAGCTGAGGAGTTGGGGAGGCCAAGGCAGAGTACCAGAAAGGAGAGAGCTGTGCTCAGAGTGTTTCAGAAATGTGCAGAGGGTCCCACTCTGGTCTTTGGCTGTGTATTGTTCATGGGCTCAAAGCTTATTCCCATCTTATGTCCCCACCATCTCCTAGGACCTCCTAGGGTCATCTGCATAGGCAGCAGAAGGAGAAAGGACAGTCGGGGATGTTTTGTGGGGGTTAAACCTGGAAGTGGTGTAGGGATGACGTAGGGACAACTGAAAATCTCCAACATTACTGGGAATCTAAGGGCTCTATGCATACTCAGCAAAGACTGTAAGCTGGAAGTGAGGGCTAAAGCAGAAATGTAAACCAGCTGGATGACTGTTGAAGATGTGTCTTTCCATACATGGGAGCACCTTGACAAATGTCTCCAATAAATTCTAATCTCAAACAGTTTGGGTCACTAAATCTTGCCTTTGAAACATTTATAAACTTAATTTTACTTATCAAATGCCATTACATTTGGAGATGAAATAAAACAAGCTTTTTAAAAATGTGCACAAAAAGTACCTCCATGCTGGCAAAACAGTTACCATTTTGGTTGTGTTTTCAGTCTCTCTCAGAATTAGAACTTGACAGCTGGAAAAGGCCTCAGATCATCTTACAGGTGAGAAAATGGAGAAACAGGAAGGCTTCAGCGGCCCCAGTCCCACAGGCCAGAGTGCGAGCCTCTCTTCATTTGCTTCCCTTTCCTCTGGATCCTTGGGGTCAGAGGGAGAGAGGTGCTGCACGTCAAAACTTGAAATATACTTTTTATGCTTTAGTTTTCCTTCGCTACTTCATTTTGTATGACTTTGTTGTCTTTCATTCCAGCCTCCAAATTCTATCTCTACATAAATAGTCATAATTCTGATATTTAATTTGATAAGTAGAGATTTCCATGGGGCAGAGTGGAGTCCAGAGAGTTAGTGACAGTGTCAATTTTTTTTTAACACTACTGAAAACATTCAATAAACTTTATCTTTAAAAAAAATTTGAGTATTAATGTATCTGTTTCCAAAGAATTATTAGACAGTCTATTAAAAGGATGAACAAGTTGGCCTTTTCAGTATGAAATTGCTTTTTAAATAATTTATTACTATTTTTTTTTAACACTACTGAAAACATTCAATAAACTTTATCTTTAAAAAAAATTTGAGTATTAATGTATCTGTTTCCAAAGAATTATTAGACAGTCTATTAAAAGGATGAACAAGTTGGCCTTTTCAGTATGAAATTGCTTTTTAAATAATTTATTACTATAAAATGCATTTGTGGATTTCAAGTTTGTAATGGAGAACTACCTTGTATTGGGCCAGCCTTCCCCACAGATAACAATTCTAGACAAAGTTAAAATAACAACTACTTGAAGACATTTGAGAAAAAGGGAGACAGTGGAAGGGACTCAACATTTAGATAAAGGGACCTGCACTGGATGAATTTCCCATTCTTAGGGCCTTTACACTGATAGCAGCCCCACAGTTCTAAGTGGGAAGATTAAATCCAGATATAAAACCTGCTATTTTACTTGCTGAGCTAGAAGGCAGAGATTAGAAGAAATACAGCAGCTAGAAAAGTAAAAGAATTGCCAAACCAAAAGAATGAACCAACGGTTAAGCGCCACATTCTGTGTGTAAAGACCCAAATCCCTGGCTCACCTTGAACTGTGCATGTATGGAGTATATTCTATTCAACCCATCTAAGGCTAAAAGGGTGGAACTGAGACTTCTGCTAACATAGGAGACGAAGTTTGGCTTGAGTCCAACCAAGTAAACTACCTGCTTAATAAAAAATGTGGATGTGGCATCAGAAAAATGGAAGACTGAGAGCCTCTGAAAATCTGTTCTGTCATGGAAACAATGAAAAAACTTATAAAAACTTTTAAAATTAACCTTTCCTGAACTCTGGAAATTAACCAGTCTTGCAGCAACCTAAGGAGTACTTAACTCAAGAAAAATTCCTGAATTCAGTAAGCACTAAGTTTTGTGGTGTTTAACTTCTCTCACTTCCCTACTTGGTTCCCCAGCTCAGCAGTAGCTATAAAATTAAGGGCCCACATTACCAGTACTGCAGGGAACAGAATGGAGCTAGAGATCTTTCAAAGCCTCATTTCCAATGAATTGTCATTTGATTTGTTTAGTGGTTCCTTGGAAGTCCCCACTAGGAAAATTTGTCTTTATTTGACCTGGGTCAGAGTTTGCCCAGTGTTAAAAGCCTCTTCCTTGCGGATATTTGTTAGAAACATTTGCAGTGAAGTGTTTCAATGTTGCAGCTGTCTGAGGCAATACAGAGCAATGGAGACAAACAGTAGACTGACCAAAAACCCTACATGGAGAAACTAAAGAAGGGATGACGTAGGGACAAATGAAAATCTCCAACATTACTGGGAATCTAAGGGCTCTATGCATACTCAGCAAAGACTGTAAACTGGAAGTGAGGGCTAAAGCAGAAATGTAAACCAGCTGGATGAGTGTTGAGGATGTGTCTTTCCATACATGGGAGCACCTTGACAAAGCCTGGGAGATTTACTGGTTCCGAGAGTTTAAGGAAATTTCTGTCCAAAAATTAGCTGACCGCAAAATAGTTGAGTAGAGACTTCAGTGGACGCTTTCACTCTGGGATCAAGAACAGAACAAACATGTGCACTCTCACTATTTCTATTCAACACTGAACTGGAGCTTCTAGCCAAGAAATCTGACCAGAAATTAGAAAGGAAGAAGTAAAAGTATCTTGAGTCACATTATTATATGATTTTATACATAGAAAAGTTGAAGGAGTCCACTAAAAATGTATTAGAATTAATAGAGTGAAGAGGGTTGCAGGATATAAGATCAATATACAAAAATTAATCATATTTCTTTGCACTTACAATGAGCAATTTGAAAATGAAATTTAAAAAATATTCTAATGATAACATCAAAAAGAATAACATACTTAGGAATAAGTCTGATAAAAGAAAACTTGTACACTGAAAACTATAAAACATTGTAATAATGTCAACATTATTTTAAATAATAAATAAGATATAAGTAAATTGAAAGAACTTGCCTCATCAGAAGTGTTCACATTGTTAAGATTGCAGTATTTCCAAAACAACTACAGATTCAATATGATGCCTTTCAGAATCCCAGATTAATTCTTTGCAGAAATTGAAAAGCTGATCCTAAAATTTGTGTGGAAGTTCAGGGGACCCAGAATATCCAAAATAATCTTGAAAAATAAGT